TATCACAAAAACACCCGACAGAATACTTAGATCAATAGGTCATTTAAATAAAGTTGTTCCGGTTGTTATTGTGTTTCATTCATTTTTGGTAATATGAGCACATTCACAGACACAACAAGAGTAACAAAACTATGATGAGACATTACCCGACAAGATCCTTAAGTCAGCTGTGCGTATTACATACCACTGAAGAAGTTTGAATGCAAGCAAGAGCACACAGAATGCATGCATTATGCAAGTTTAAAAGCGAAAAAATAATGCAAACCAAACTGACTGACCTTCTCCTAAGAATTTATTGCGATGCCAAAAGTGTATATTAACTACTTACCTTGCAGTAACAAGAAACACTGTTCTATTGGTTATTTGAAATAGCTAACAATCTCCTTTGACCATGAATAGAGCTTTGCGCAGTTGTAACGAAATCAGGTGAATACTCCCTATAAAAGTATTGCCCTTGCCGCTGGAATCTTTTAAAAGTACGATATGAGGATTATTATCAAAATCCCTCTTTATGCGATTGGCCTATTTCCAAAAAATCTATGTTTTAACACCTGTGTCTAAGTCTGTTGTTTACTTTCGCCTTGGAGGACTTAACGAGATGTGACGCTATTTAAACAAGGTTCTTTGTTACGCAGATTCCTCAGGCAGAAAAAGCGTCTGCTCTTTTAAAAAAACTAACAGAAATGGTGGCCCCTTAAAAGCATGAAAAACAACTTATCTTGGTGCATGCCTGTGCACAGCGACCTTTACATCTAAACGCAAATCCTATTGGATAAAGGTAATTTCGCTGAATTTCACCGCACAACCTTTTAAAAACAGTTTTAGCCCTAGTCAATGGATAACCACAGCGCACGAAAGTCGGAAATTCTCTCCGTCCTGCTCAAGCATAGAGGAGAGCCTGTACATTTAGAAGCTTATCGTACTTTTTTTCTGCTTTGACGCTACGCTTGGCGAATAAGTTATTCGTCAATAAACCTCCTATTTTTATTCCATAAGGCAATCTCTATGATAATTTGTTTTACTGCAGCACGAAGATGAAGTCTTCATTGCATTTTTTAGCTCCTACTTCTCGCAAACCAGTGCTCATGTGTCACATTGTATGGTCCTTCCTCTCACAAATACGACAAAAGAGCACAAGAAGGAGGAAATTAAGTCAGAAAGTGCAATTGAATCAGGCCGGAGATCCGCTGAAAAGGCAGCGGGAGACAAGCTAGCTTTATGATGCCCAGCTATGTTTCCTTGATTGTCCCTTGACATAGTGGGCAGTGCGTACGTGTATCATGAGTAACGTAGCAATGACGAAGAACCTTGCAGATGTGCAATGTTCCTGGAATACAACAGATGATTGCGTAACCGTAAAGCTCCATAAAATTTGATTTGATTTGATAAGGCGAGTTTAAATAGTTTAGCTTCATGAAATTATAGTCTAGGGCGTGCCGTATCCTTGCCTCATAAGGAGAATTGGGTTATTCATACAGCACAAACATGCGGAGCCAGCATTTGGTTATGGAAAAGATAACATTTTGAGCATTGGTGACTTTGTTGAGATAAAACGAAATCGTCCTAAGAGGCCCTAGAGATTGGGATGAGAGATGGAACGATGGCGCCGGAAAGCATTTACCTCCAGACATTTGAATTCCGTTTGTAATCTTCATTTATCGTCTTACATCCAATAAAGTTTTTCGTTTGTTCTTGTTTTTTACCGGAGGGTTTATCTCCAGGTTATCCTCTTTCTCTCGCTCCACAAAAACCAACATTTTATTGAATTCTAGTTCGATTGTATAAATGACCACCTCCTAGTTGTTTTTTATATGTATTTGTGTACTTTTTTCAATGCTAATGATCGGAACATTGCAGCTTGCAATCCGCACAGGTATGCTAGTTCAAAATTAGGATAAACAAAATTGTCTGGTCATGGGTCATGGGTGCATAGTTTACTCACTGCCCCAGTACTTTAAGTTTTCTTGGGTCAGTTGGCGAGTACGTGATAGCCTGCACGCGTATGAAAAATGCATCCGTGTTTTCAGGCAATATTCTTGCAACTCCCTCAGTGCCACCGAGGAGCGAAGAAAATATTTCTCATGCCTAAGCACAGGAGTAGCTTATTAACCTCTTATCTGTTTCACGTGCACCGAGCTCTCAAAATTTCACCTCGGCGAAACGTATCGAAAGATGTCATTACTTGAAAAAATTTTTCATCCTAGCTTAGCTGTGTCTTTAAAAAATCATAAGATCTGGTGTAATTTTGGTGCTTCGACGAAAGCGTGAAAATTTCCAAATTGTTTTGAGGGATAACATAGATTATTTACCGCGAAACTGCATTACTGATATTTTTAAACGCCGCAAATAATATTTTTAGGAGAAGAAAAATTTCTTTCGTTCAATAATTTATCTTTCACTGCATCGTTAGCATACTTCAGTTGCAAAATGCAAAACTGGCATTGAAACTGATGTTAATTTTTCTCATTCAATAGGACAATTTGTTACATCACAATTTTTCTTTACTCTTACGTCGAATTCAAATGCAATTATGATGGCGTCTAAAAGTTTGTTACGTTGAATTCACATGTATTTGCTTCGGCTTCTTCTCATCAATAGCTTTGTTAGCGTTCTGTCGGAACGATAGAGATGACTAACATTTATTATCTCCAGGAGAAAACAAAACAACAGTCTTACTTACGATGTTTTTAAAAGGAACAATGGTGCATGACAACTTGGCAAATTGGTTTCCTGTGTCTTGCTGTGAGCAAACGGATAGGACCTTGCACTTCAATTTGGAATCTGCTCTTCAATACACAGGTATCAGCGAGCGACGAAACTCGATGAAACTGATCAGCAGCTAAGATGTTATTGTCACTCTTAAATATCTATATGTGAGTGTTGTTTTTTCGTGAGTCTGCTGCCAAGCAATGAACGCAGTGATCTGATTGGCAAATTTATGCAAGTTAGTGCTGCTGTTATATGATTAGGACATTAAAGCCACTGAAAAGCGGACAGAATTCTGTCTTATTAACCGACACTTTCATTATCTCATTAGATGGGTTTTTAATCCTCTTATTGTACTTTTTTTCATATATTAAACACTTAATTTATGTATAGCGAGAAAGCACCGTAACCACCTCAAGTAAATTAGCTCAAACTCAGTTATCGGCCCTAAAAAAAAAATCACTCGAGTTTTTATGAGTCTCTTCCGTCGAAAAGTTTGATATTAAAGGGCTTTTCAGATTGAAAGTTAGAACTTAACTACATCTCTAATATCATATCATATTTCGTTTGCCTATGGTAACTTTTGGTCTCCCTGGTAATGCACCTGTTTGTTATTGTTGCGGTAAACAACGACGTTTTTGGATGTTAAAATCCATCTAGTATTTTTGCCTACGCGCAGATAGTTTAAAAGCGTCACGTGACCGATTATGTTCCCGGATGAAACTGGAGGACAACAACAATCATTCATCGAAGTGGAGTGGCTTGTAGTGGCAGAAATATTTACCGACACTGCGGTGAATAGTTGTCTTAGTATAAAATGAAAAACAGTGAAATCTTTTACCGCAAAAAGATGATTTTAACTCATTTATTCCAGCAACGATTACAATATATTCAGGCTTAAATCCCACGTGAGTTGCTTGGAGGTGAAAGCAAAGGATGTTCGGAGTTTGAGTAGCCAATCAGAGCGCGTCTTCAACGCAGTTCACTATTTTAGTATCCACTAAAGGCATTTATATTGAAAACACCGGGTAAAACTGGGATGTATGCCACGATATATGAATCAATATGCGTGTTTCTCACTTGGGATAGATAATTTTCCTATGAACCTATATTTACGCATGTTGTGGTGATTATCAACGTAACTTGCAATTGGAACTTTTTCGCCAAGCTGAAGATCCGAGTCTGTGAGGTCGCTATTGATTCGTTGTCATGCCAATTGTTGCTAATTTCAATGAGCACAGAAGCCTAACGACGCCCAGTGGAGTGTCAAGACTTTTCAAAATCTGACGTGACCGAGTAAATCGATATAGCTACTTATGAAGTCGCTACACAAAATCCGTCATAATGTTTGGACGCATGACACCCTTAAAAACTCTCAGGGATAGCAGTAGAATAAGGAATATTTTGCATTAAAAAAGTGTTCCCTGTTCTTAACACTCGTAAGAGTAATGAATGATAACATGATACAGTTGTGTATGACAAATCAATTTGCATGTAAAGGCCCTTTTACGCTCACCCGTGTTTTATCAAAGTCGTTAGATGATTCTGGTTTCAAGTGTCAAATCGATCATCGGAAATTTTCGTTTTCCTTGACTATAATCGAATTTAAAACACAATTTTCGGCTTTTCTTCTGACGCGTTTTATTTACTGCCATTAGGAACAATTTTGCGCGTCTTTTTTTCCTTTCACAAGTATGTCGCTTATCAGGGTCTGTTTAAGATCCGGCGACTCTTGGCATTTTGTCGCCAATGTTATGTTATTCTTCAAGTGCAGAGGAGGATGTTGGTAAGCTCACGACACAGGTACGGATATTCTAAGGACAATTCCCTTCCATTTTTCCCGGATTATCGAATTATCAGTCTTAATAATCAGAGAACAATACATTCTCTATTCGGAAAAGCCAGCTTACGATTATTGAACCACATCCTCCGTTAACGCGGGCATGAATTCCGAACGAGCGTAAGAGAGTAAGTTTGCCCTTTTATGAGTCAAGTTTGAGTTACAACAAACCCCAAGCCTCTCTCATTGTTAAAACCTGTATTGAAACGCTACTTAAGTGTACCTGAAGAAGAGTTGGTGTTACGCAACTTTTTACACATGAAATACAGCGCGTTTATGTGAAACAATGTGAGCGTTTGTCTCGTACCCATATTTATACTTCATCCATGCCCAATACTTTTAGCCACCATCTGGATACGACAGCGGGGTGACGACACTACATTTGCCACTGAGTCCTAGTAATCCTAAGGAGACCAATGACAATTGTTTTTTTTTTTTATTTATCTATTTTTTTTAACTCTACATTGCATATCAGCTCGGATATCTTAAAGTTTGCTATCATAATAATCTAGTACATATGTATGAGAGATTTTTTGTACTCTCTCAATAACACTTCATTTAAATAATGCCTTTTAATGAGATGTGTAAAATTGAAGTTCCTTGTAATCACTTTGAGTAACTTAATACTCGCAATAACATCCTACAGGTACATTCCTGATCATAACGGGTCTGCGCCAGGAGCACTGTCCCGAACTTGGTATGCGCATGACCTTCACGTCGCTCATTCTGGTCAAACAGCGCATACTCCCTTGCGCTGAACCGCAGTGCACTGGATTGTCTGGAGTGCCTTCGCATTTCACGGTGTGGACAAACCTGGGAAAAAAGATGTCGTTGCTTTGGAAATACTTTTGAGGGTCGATACTTGAGAAGATCTCACGACAGGCACGAGAGTTTATGAATCGCTTTGCAACGTGAGAGGAAGTGCTGTGGAATGGAGAGAAAATACATTATTGAACTTGTACACTCACGTTCGTAATGTGTACCACTTATAAGGAGAGTATGACAAATCACTTTTGTTTTTCGGCCCTATCAGCGGATATATATCATTAAAGAATTTTATTGTAATCTGAATTGCCGTAGGCAGAAACAAATTGCTGAGGGTATTAATCCTGTTAATATTTTTACGTCCTCTACAATCAACAAACATCACGGGCGTGTAGAGTATCTTTGATTGAAGGAGGAACATGAACGGGAACATAAAATGTGTGACAACTTATGTCTGTAGTTTAAATGTCGTGTATCACTCTTGCAGTGAAGGTTTAATTCATCTGCTTGAGTCACACGGAAAGTGAGTGGAAAGTGCGGACATCAATTGCCCTCAGACTTGATGAAAATTAAAAATAAAATAAAATTTAATTCTTTCTTTTTATGTCTGGCAACTTAAAAATGTGGCTTTTTTTCCATTGTTTCTATGACAAATTCGAATGAAGACTGCTCAGTAACAATTCTTAGATAAATCAGAGATGTGCATGGAAGGAAGATCAGGTGATGGTTTTTGCTTGACATAAATGCCTACGACTTTTGTCGTGGGAGTTTACCTCAAAGTGTCATTTGCTGATTCCAAAGCTGGAGGTAAGTGACCTTGAAAATCTTGATTTAACCCATTCATCGGCTGGAGAGAGCCCACTGTCAAGTAGGTCATCAAAAAAGGCAGTAGGAACTAGAAAGGAAAAGAACTATCGTAAACAGTCGTTGGAATCCGGAGTTCGAAACTGATTCGGACTCTTCTCCACAACACAGCGGTCAAACATGAGACACTCACAGAAAGATCAACTGGCCGGCTGTACGCCAATTTCCCGCAAAAAATTCAAAGGCAAACATGAGAAACAACCCCTATCACTCAAAGTCTGCCGTAAAAAAGTTTGAAACATTCATACATATCTGTATATCTTATTTCACAGCGAGTCACTTCCTGCTGTTTATTTACCTGACCGGCTTTTTGTTTCGAACGCCTCTTCGCCATCACAACGTTCGCACAAGCGCAAACTTTGACCGTTCTGCTTGATTTTGGAATTCAAACATGCCTTTTGCTCTCCCTTGTAGTTGCGCGTGTCGCAGTTTTTAATTTTGCACCTGCAATAATTATTTGCCCCGAGGGCAACGTGCGTCGACACAAGAAAACAGGCTAAGGGTGCGAATTTACTAACAACTTTCAGAATGCTGAACTGATCGTAGATACAGACAGGCTGATTTTGCGCAAATATTCCCGAATGAGAAACTTTGACGCGCTTAAAATGAAAAACAAAAAAGTAACCAAACTACAGAAATGACTACCTGCACTAACTTATACGCCATGGATGGCTACAGCAGTTGAGGAAATAACAATGTTTGTTTGAGGCAGCCAGGGAGATAGTTCCTCCCTCATGCATGACTATTAATCCCTTTAAAAAACTGAGAAACTTCCTTAACTGAATAGATACCCCTCGCAAGTTTCTCTGAGCTTCCAACCTGTGTGGAAGTTATCTTCGAACACAATCCAATTCTATCTAATCTTGGCTTTAGCATTTACGGCTTTCACATACCCTACCTGAACTGACATACTCGTACAGAAAGGACAAATTATTCTTCACTACATCAGTGAAACTCTCATTTCTTACCTTTGCAGAGAACATCTTGTTTCAAAGTTTGCTTTTGTTCGATGACAGATAATTTTTTTATGCAGCACAGGGTCACGACTGTGCTTTTTATAGACGCATTCTAGTATTATTTGATTTCTTAAAGTTGATAATAAAAAAAGTAATTATATTGTGAGTGTGACAGAAGTTTGTAAATGCTTGGACTTCTATGGCAGCCGTATACTTCCCTCATCAACCGACTATTGGTTTTTTCATGCTTATCAGATGACAATTAAATTTCTTACACACGATCAAGTAGAGAGGCTATCATTTCATATTTTTTTCGATCATTTACAGGGTACTTTGTGGTAATTATAAATCTTGGAGACATTTAGCTTACAATGTCAAGAACCCTCGTTATAACCCGAGCTTTGCAGCCTGAACTATATCAAGCCTTTTACTAGAGACACGTTCGTAAAACGTGATCCGATTCACTTTGATAAAAAAGGTTCTTGAAACTTATTGATAAAATGCGACTTTTCTAGTTGAAAATCAGAGAGTTTAAGAGACTTTTTATAAACATTTATTTGGTTTTAACAAGAGGATGAATGCCTGCTCTCTTCGATTCACTCATCGCAAATGACTTTTGCACTTTAAATGCCAGAGAGAGGTTACAGAGTAATTTTATCAGTAAAACTTTGACGGTTCTTTGCTTAATGGAGAAAGTAATTGCAATTTTTGTCAAAGTTTTGCACTCTTATGATAAGAGAATTTGAAACTTGTAATGCGTTTCAAACTCGACAGCTACTTGAAATTGGTTGTTTAATGCAAAGTAAGAACTCGAACCATCGATGGGTAAAAGCTGTTTATCTCGTATTCAGAGTACTCTTTTAAGAGATAAAAAAGGGAAATAACCCCTCCCTCTAGGAGCAAATTTTACGATTCAAGTTGGATTCGTGATCCTTATGATCTCGGAATCAAACACAAGTAGTACTCAAAAACAAACTACAGTAATCTCAGTTAGTGATAACTGAAAGCAATAAAATAAACTTTGAAAACCATGTGTTGATAGCTTCTTTTTCAAAGAAAAGTGGCTATTACTCGCCCACGAATGGCAAGATGTGGATGCCAGGAAGTTCAAATCACCTTTGCGGAAACACAGATACACAAGGTACACAGACGTGAGGCCACGAAAGAAGGCGAAGACAGCAGTACCCTGTAATCTCTCTTGCAAGCCTTGACCAACCAGCGGTGCCCGTTTGAATCAGCCCTTCCTTTGGCCTTGAGAAATTTTGCACGCATGTATGAAACGAAATTAGCCCGCGGAACAAACGTCAAATTTTTGCGTCAAGCAAGCTATACCAGGAAAGAAATGCAGCAATAAAGATCTTTGAGACAATTTGATCAGCCCAATTGAATTTAAGCGGAATTGGCCGAGAGAAGGCGCCCTTTTTCTTAATTGGTTTTTTATTCAGAAATTTTATTGTTTTAAAAACGAACCCTTTTAACTTTACAATGCCAGGGCACTTAATGACCCAGAACGGAAAACTAATATTGATAAATTAATGGTCGTCAATTGTGTAATGTTGGCGGACGTTGTCGACAGACGTATTGAAAAACTTGTCCGTTTTACTTAAGACACTCTTCAGCCCTTTGTCAACTTCTGTATATATTGATAATTGATCACAAGAGGTGACATCCTGTCCTGAGTGTTTTGATGGGTTTCACTGTTCCCTCTCCTTCAACTGTGTTTATCACGAATGACTTGAATAAATGCACGAATAATTAGTATTTTTCGCTATTTTAAATTCTGAAGAATGAATACTGGCTTTGTCTTTTGTTGTGAATAGCGTCTGTTTATACTTGATACAGCAAAACTACGGGGTTTCTAGGCTTTTAGAATGCCTCCCCAAGCATTTGATATGCATTTCTTAAATGGGTAAGTGAGTGAGTGGGCAGAGAAATTGTTTCCGGATCCGTCGTGAGAAATTTCTTCGTTTTACATTTGGAATATTTCAGAAGACTTCAAGGATTGCTTACTCGCTTTACTTTTACTCTTAGTTGTGAGTCGTTCATTTTTATGGTTTTTCTGTTTTATTTCAGTGCAGATTTTTTTGTTATTTTCATAATATTGCCTAAAGCTAATTAAAACCGTTATACTCAATGTGATAGAAGGCGGTGTTCGTTAATCATGGCTATTAATGCATAATGCCCTTGAGGAAACTTCTGCTGTTATTTCTATATGCGTTGCTAGAGACTCATTCAAATTCCTTTTAATGATTGTGTCTTATTCCTTCTCAACAATTATATGTCTAAGACTGAATGTCAACACACTATAATTGCGTGATTGCGTGACAACACATGTACATTACCCATAAATCAAAGCAAGTTACATAATCTTTTGTTCATTCAAAAATTATCGGCAAACCACAACAACAAAGATGGCGTCCGCGAGTGAGATACCGAGCTTTGAGAAATGCCAGCTCAAAGCAACGACCGTACGGGAAAGGAATGAACTGATGTTTAATAATGAGATACTCAGTGATGTGCACTTCATGGTGGGTAAAGATAAAGTCCGAATTCCTGGTCATAAATACGTTTTAGCCATCAGTAGCCCAGTGTTTTTTGCTATGTTTTACGGTCGAATGGCTGAACAGGGATCAGACGTGGCCGTTAGTGACTCCGAGGTTGAATGTTTTATGGAACTTCTGCGCTTCATTTATACAGACGAAGCAATTTTGACGCTGGACAATGCCCTTGGAGTTCTTTATTTAGCAGAGAAGTACATGTTGCCGGTGTTAGCAGCCAAGTGTATCAATTATGTCGAAGCGAGTTTAAATCCCGAGAATGTTCTAACGGTTCTGAGCCATGCAAGGTATTTAGGAAAAGAAGAACTGCAGAAGAGGTGCTGGGAGGTGATAGACACATACACGACTCAAGTTCTAGAATCAGAGGCATTCCTAGAGCTTGAAAAAGAAACACTGTCGCTTCTGGTACAACGAAACACAATATCGGTTAAAGAGATTCAAATGTTTAAAGCTATAAATTCTTGGTCAGAGAATGAATGTCGTCGCCAAGGCATTAAACCGATTTCTGACAACAAGAGAGCAGTGTCTTCGCAAGCCATGAAATTTATAAGATTTCCTCTGATGACGCCCTTAGAATTTGCTGACGAAGTTGCCAGATCTGGAATGCTTTCCTATGAAGAAACAACCAACATATTTTTATACTTCTTTTCCACCCGCGAAACCGAACTTCAATTCTCTAAAATTCCTCGAAAACCTAGGGAAACTTTGTTGAAGAAGACTTTAAGATGCTCTAGATTTAAGAGCTGTTGCGGAAATGACTGGTTCTGTGACACAAGAAAATGCGACGCTTTAAAATTCATGGTGAACCGATCGGTTCACATCAAAGGGATAGCAGTTTACGGCGCAAGCAAACTTGAAGGTGATTATACTGCCAGCGTGCAACTCCTGAAACAGACCAAAGTCCTCGCTGACGGTGAACGTATATTTTCTTCTGGTACAAGCGCTTTGTTACACGACGTTCTGTTCGATAGACCCTATTTAGTCGACAAGAATGAAGTGTACACAATAAACTTGATGTTACAAGGACCATGTTCTCAAAGTGGAAGAGACGGATTTTCCTCTGTTGAAACAGAGGGCGTGACGTTTACATTTATTGAATACACTAGCCCCAATGGTACATCAGCATCTGCTGGGCAAATCCCTGAAATTATCTTTCAGCTTTAAGAAGAAGACAGCAAAAATTTATTCCTTAAGCACTGCATGCCTCATTAAGTTTAGTCACTTATAATAAACTATGCATGATAATGATTCATCCTTTCAAAACTTTAGGGAGAGCTTTGTTTGATAAGAATATCCATTGTTTTTACTTCTAAGTACAAAAACAATTTCTAAAACACCCTATTTGGTTTTGTGATCAATTGCCTCAATTTAATAACATTGAAATTTCATTGAATTCTTTCAAACATTTAAGAGCAAGAACGTTAAAATTTAGTATGTAATTTTGATATTGATGGCTGCAAATCATGTCTCAAGTATTTGTTCCCAATCTTTATTGGATATTTTGGTTAAAATGTGTCTCATTTTAAAAGATTTTTTATTCATGTGTATTCTATCATGCAAGTTGTATTGTCATGACAAAGATAAGCCTAGAAAGAAATGTGGGAAACATCATTTTGCTGCATTTTGATCGCAAATATTTATCAGTTGAATCATTTTGTATAATAACGAATATTATTCCACCAGACTTTAAATGGAGATTTTACAAATTTCTGCATTGGCTGTGATTAATTTTATTAAAACTGAAATCAACATACAGTAGAGACATAATTTTTTAATTAGGTTATTCCCAGACTTAAAAACAATTGCAATATTGCATATTCAATTTGACTTTGTCAAGTAACTTGTAAAAAATTTGATCATACTGGGTCTCTACATGTATAACAGTTCAGCGATCAGTGATAAATGCTGTGAATACCAGTCAGCTCCAAGGGAAAAAATGGAAAATGATCAGATAGTTAACAATGTAAATAAAAGAAAAATTAAAAGGTAAAGGAAAGACTGGTCTTTTATAATAATATGGCGGGAAATTAGAACTCGGCAAGCGCGCAGGAGTATTTTTTTCTACCAATTAGAGATTGAAACAACTGTGACGTTGAAGTTTAGTTTCCTGAAACATTTCGCGAGGGCCTGAGTTCTATATGGAAACCAACTGCAGGCCCTGGGAATGAATTGTTTCAATATGGCGGACGATGGAGGGAAAGGATTTTCTCCTTCAGAAACGACTAATGGTGGTGATAATTCTCAATCTGACACATTGGTAGAGACAAAATTAGATCTAGAATCTGTATCGTTGGTTCCTGATGTCAAACTCCGGCCTGGGGTAGCACCTATCAAGACTCAGTAAGTGTGTTCAAACGTTTTGAATTGCACGTGGCTGCTACAGAAATGGAGCTTGCGTGAAGGTTACACTGTACGCTGTACGCTGTCCATCTATTCCACAAGTTAATTGGTATTTGTGTTTTTTGCTTGCTTTGGTTTGTTTCGTTCTATGGTAAGCCTTCTCCTTGAAGTAACCATCAGTGTGACCCACAATCTCAGACTGTGTTTAGTCGGAGTTACGCAAGACTTTCTGTATAACCTAACCGTTTTATCTGAATCATTCTTAGTCTTAACGATAAACTGACAAAATGATATGGCTTCACCGACAACCTGGCCACCTACTATTCCTTATTTTCTTTTTAATTTCAAACCTATTGCCTGCCTTGCTCCTCAGTTTTTCTTCTTTTCCTCTCAATTTTTCAAACAGGTATTTAAAGAAGGTTTCAAAAAGTGCTGCAAATAAAGTGAGTTCAGATGAAAGTAAAGCATCATGCAATGAAGCTGAGAAAAAGAGACCTGTTTGTGAAGATGAGAGTGATAACAACAAAGCAGGAGAACCTTCTAAAAAGAAGAAAAAACGTGGAATGAACAAAGCCAGACCTCGGGCAGCAAAACTTGACTTTAGCCAGCAGTTGTGCACAAGTGTAGTCAAGGGAGAGTTGTGTGCATATGGTGAGAATTGTAGATATCTGCATGACATTGAAAAGTATGTGACAGATCATAAGCTGCCCGATATTGGAGAAACCTGTGTGAACTTTGAGAAATATGGTAAATGTATATATGGAATAACATGTAGGTATGGGAAGAAACATATTTCCCAGAATTATGAAAACATTGTAAATGAGGCATTGTACAAAGAGACTGCCCCTTCAATGACAAGGACTGTTTTAAGCAAAGAGCTCACATTTTCATTGAGGAAAAAACAGTATGAGTTTCCCAAAGCAGACATGTTCCTGGCACAGCTTGCAAAAGTGAAAGCCGAAGGTAAAGAATACAGTGAACTTGGAAGTTTGCAAAGACCATGTCCCAAAAGTGCAGGAGCCATCACAGACGAAGATGTCATCAAACTTAGACCACAAGAAAAGAAAAAGGCATGTACGGTAACTATTCATTCAATAGGACACATGCTTTGAATATAAGCTGTCACTGAATAACTGTTGGTGGTCCTGTTTTTTCCTCCTTTCAGATCAATTTTGCAGACAAGCTGTATTTGGCACCACTAACAACTGTAAGTTATAATTTCCAACCACTTTATTGTGTGAAGCTGATGGGACTGTATTGGTGTTTAATTTTTCAGTGACACATTGTTAACTATTTGATCATACTGGGTGTATACATGTATAACAGTTCAGCAATCAGTGATAAATGCTGTGAATACCAGTCAGCTCCAAGGGAAAAAAAAAGGAAAATTTTGTCCTGTTTTGACCAGACCCTGGTTAGAATAAACTCTGAGTAGTCTTACTATTTTTTCTCTTACTAGAGTTTTACCCACATTCTCAGGGCAGACTCTGGATGAAGGATAATTTCCAGAGTTCCAACATTTTTAAACCAAAGAGAAGCTCAAACTTTTTAGATTAAAGATTTTTCTTAGAATCCTGCTTTGAAATTTATGTAAGTTTCCTATTTAGAGAAATATTCAAACCATTGGCTGAATGAAAAGCAATGTTGATAATTAACGTTGGTTGATTTAACTTAATTGTTCCTTGTCAAATTTTGAGGCCTTCTTGTAAGTTACTTTTTTGTATTGAAGTTTCTGACCCTTGCTTTCACAAAAAATCTATTATTAGGACTCTTTGTCCCACACTCTTGATGACACGAAAAACATCTTTCTTTAAATCTATTATGCATGGACTCTGTGCACCTTTTTTTTTCAAACAAATAGAGGCTTGATTTGCAATTCATGTCAGCCCTATTTTACTTGTACTTTGTAGTTAATAGCTCCAGCCAAGAAGATAACTCGATAAGACATTTACCTTTATGTCTTACCTGTATTTAATAACACTGCACTTGCTTGCTAGCTCAGTCGGTAGAGCGCTGCACTGGTATCACAGAGGTCATGGGTTCAAATCCCACATGGGCCTGAATTTTTTTCAGGTCTTATTTCAAGTACTAGTTCAGTAGTGTTCATAGGTGCAAGGATCTTTTATATTTGTTTCTTCACCACAGTACACATATATGATTTTCATATATCCATAATCATTATTTACTGCCCTTGTAGGTTGGTAACCTGCCGTTTCGCAGGGTTTGCAAACAGTTTGGAGCAGATATAACTTGCAGTGAAATGGCCATGTGTACCAAACTACTTCAGGTCAGTCTCTTTGGCTAATAAAATTATTTTACAATGTTATCTCGATTTGCATTCCTAAAGGATTCTTGATTTTGTTTTTAGTTATGTTTTAAGTATATTTATAGTGAGAAAAATGAAGAAACTCAAATTGTCCTTGTAGGGCAGTATGTCAGAATGGGCCTTGCTGAAGCGCCATAGCTCTGAGGACATTTTTGGTGCACAGGTAAGGGACTTATCTTTAGTTTGCAAAGTACTATTATAATTCCTTTTGATTTTTTTTCCAGTCTGTAGCCTGAAGTTTACCAAAATCCAAATACAGTTACAATAATTTTACGAAAAAACAATTTGTTTATATGATGATTATAGTGAGTAAATATCACTTGTTATATTTTATATTGTTTGTCAGAATACTGAATTTTCTGTTATATATGCAGCTATGTGGTTCATTTCCTGACTCGATGGCAAAATGTGCTGAGCTCCTTCAGAATGATGTCCCTGTTGACTTTGTGGATATCAATATTGGTTGCCCCATTGACTTAGTATTTAAACAGGTATGATGAATTGAGGGGTGCAAACTTTGTGGCTTTTAAGACATGTTGGGAATAAATCTTTGTGTTACTTATGGATGGGATGAAAAGATGATATTTGCCCTTGGTTCTACAGGGAGCTGGAAGTGCTTTGATGGGCCGCATGGGAAAATTTGAGCAGATTGTCAGAGGAATGAACTATGTAAGTAGATTAGGAAAGCTTTTTATGAAATAAGCACTGATATGTTTTTCTTTTCTGTCAATAAAAAAATGATTTTCGAAGGAAATTCTGGTAGTGTATTGTTAACAAGGAAGTGAATATGTTGCATTTTATTTCACTGTAAGAATAATTGTTATTAAAGATTTACTTATGAATATATAAATTTGCACATTGTTGGCACAATTAAAAAGTTCATAATGATTAATATTGGTGGATGTCTTAAAAGGTCAATCAACATCTTATTTTTTAGTTATGAATGGCAAAACATTATCTTAAGTTATAGACTTTGAAATAAAAGTACTTAGGACTACTTTTATGAGCTTATTAACTTATATAGTGTAGATATCAATTGGTGTATTTTACTTTTCAATTTCATTTTATATTTTTTTTTTTGTCTCCCTTCAAGGTCATGGATATACCTCTGACTGTGAAAATGAGAACTGGCATCAGTGATAAGAAAACTTCATGGAATGCACACAAGCTCATTTCCAATCTTAAGACATGGGGCGTTTCACTGGCAACTGTAAGTAAATTGGAAACAAATTGGCTAAAGACAATCATAATAATTGAGGACAAAGAACATGTAATGGTCTAATCATCATTCAGCATATGCAAACTCATGTTGTGATTAAGAGTTCTGGTTGGTTCACATGTTATGCATTCTTGGTTGGGTAAACTGAGTTTTGAACTCTCAAACTGCTTCTTTCTGCCTCAGGGAAAGGTTTAATGGTTGCATACTGACATCCAGATCAAGAGTTCTGGCTGTTTCACTTCTTATGCATTCTTGGCCAAGTAAACTATTTCGTTCTGTCCTAGCAAAATGATAAATAGTTACCAGCAAGCTGTCATGTAAACCTTAAGTGTAGAGGAGTGGGGAAATAAGTAACCAGATATAAACCATCATCTGAAGAAGTTGCAACACTGCTATTGGCCTAATGCCTGAGAGACAAAAGATTTGAAATTTGGCTGTAATCTGTGCTTGTCAAACCTGTCAGTCAGGGTGTGTGTCAAATCAAAGTTTCAAGCCTTCCAGGTGGGAGTAAGCTGTTCTACAGTTCTACATAACTATAATTAATGATAATTAATGATGATTCTATTTTTTTCAAATGGAATTGTAATTTATGTTGCTGCTGTGCTCTAGGCTTGAGAAAAACCTTTTCTTTTTGTCTTTTTCTGAAGCTCCATGGACGCTCAAGGGAACAACGATACACAAGACTAGCTGACTGGGAGTACATTAGTGAGTGTGCTAAGGCTGCTGCACCAATGCCTCTCTTTGGTAAGAGAATTTTACTTTATTACTTTTTCTCTATCTTTTGAAACAGTTTCAATGTAGGATTTAATTTTTGATATTCAATATTCCGCAAGGTGAAATTATCCTGAGAAACCTTTCGTACATGCATTTAGGAGTGTTAAGAGTGATAAACATATAATTTCTCCTCAAACTATCACCCCTGGATCAAGCATGAAGGTCATGAGAATGAGGGAGATGATCACCAAGTAAAGAAGCTCTTGATTGTCAAACAAATTCTCCTTGTCAGCACCTTAGGAAATGTATAGAGAACAGTATGGAGAATATGCATACTGATGTTAGGATGTAAAGGGTTAAACAAATTAACTGCAGCATTCATAGCTTTCATCTAGAATTTTTTTTCATAATGTACAAGATTTTAAAGTAAGTTACTGATTGTTCTGTTATTTTCAGGAAATGGAGACATCCTTTCCTATGAAGATGCTGTTTTACGAAGAGAGCAAACTGGAGTATCTGGTTTGATGATTGCAAGGTACAATGCCTATTAGTTCCTTGGATTTGTAATATTAAGGAAATTCATATTAATAATAGTATTACTTAGCTTTTTTTATTACTTGATGCAGTGTAATATTTTGTGATGTTTGGTTCAAATGGTTGCATAGTTTTACATACAAGTGAATGTTTTCATGAATTTGTATGATGATTGATTTGAAAACAATGAAATTCTTACGAGATACTTTGGAATTACCTACAGGAGGGTATTATTCTTAGTATTATTTTGTGTTTAAGTATAAAACGATTTTATTCACCATCATAGAGATGACTATCATCAGATAGTTATTAATCCAAGTAAACATTACTAGATATAGAAGTGTAAGATACTTACAGTATTTAACCCTTCAAATCTAATGCATGACCAAGAGAGAATTTCTCCTTACAATATCAATACAATATCAAGTAGTCAAGTGATGAGAATTTAAAAAAATCAATTAGAGGATGACTAGTTGATCCAATACCAAATTCTCATAACTAACACCATAAGAATTGTATGACAGACATTGAGGAGAATTACTAAAAGATCATGGAAGTGAAAAGGGTGAAATGATGTAATATTGAAGATTTAGATATATGAAAATTCACATATTTGCACTGCGGTGGAAAGATGAAATTAGAAGATCCTCGCAGCTAAGAACACTACTGAAACTAGTAGTTGTAAGTAGGACCTGAAAAAAATTTCAGGCCAACGGGATTTGAACCCATCTGCGATACCGGTGCAGCGCTCTACCAATTGAGCTAACAAGCCAACTGGGAGCTGGTCAATGAATTGGGTACAATTGGGTACAATGAATTGGGTACAAATTGTACCCAATTCATTGACCAGCTCCCAGTTGGCTTGTTAGCTCAATTGGTAGAGCGCTGCACCGGTATCGCAGAGGTCATGGGTTCAAATCCCGTACGGGCCTGAAATTTTTTTCAGGTCCTACTTACAACTACTAGTTTCAGTAGTGTTCTTCTAATTTCATCTTTCCACCGCAGTGCAAATATGTGAATTTTCATATATCTAAATCTTCAATTGTTTATTTGTACCAATTCATTGACCAGCTCCCAGTTGGCTTGTTAGCTCAATTGGTAGAGCGCTGCACCGGTATCGCAGAGGTCATGGGTTCAAATCCCGTACGGGCCTGAAATTTTTTTCAGGTCCTACTTACAACTACTAGTTTCAGTAGTGTTCTTAGCTGCGAGGATCTTCTAATTTCATCTTTCCACCGCAGTGCAAATATGTGAATTTTCATATATCTAAATCTTCATTCACTCGGATGTTTATTTGTACCCAATTCATTGACCAGCTCCCAGTTGGCTTGTTAGCTCAATTGGTAGAGCGCTGCACCGGTATCGCAGAGGTCATGGGTTCAAATCCCGTACGGGCCTGAAATTTTTTTCAGGTCCTACTTACAACTACTAGTTTCAGTAGTGTTCTTAGCTGCGAGGATCTTCTAATTTCATCTTTCCACCGCAGTGCAAATATGTGAATTTTCATATTATTAACAATAGATGGCAAGGAGACCCTTTGAATCCACAAGGCTTATAGTTTCAACTTTGTTTTCAGAGGGGCTCTGATTAAACCATGGATATTTACAGAGATAAAAGAAAACAGGTAGGAACTTTCTCGTTAATCAGAGTGGATGTTTATAGTTGATGCTTTTATAAAATGAAAAATTACAGTTAATTTTCTTTCATAATGGCAACCATGTCTTGCAAAGATTGCATGTCTTGAAAATTTCCAGGAGTACAATCTATGTATAGCTGGTGGAGTTTGAAATTTTGATAGCTGTTTAGTATGGTGCTATTGTAGAGTATGCATTTTTCTTATGAACGGTGATTTATTTTTTTTCAGACACTGGGACATATCATCCAATGAACGTTTTGACATGCTGCGGGATTTTGCCAATTTTGGCCTGGAGCACTGGGGATCTGATACAATGGTATGTTTTCCTTAAATTAATTCCAGACATGTATGTTGTTAGTTGTTTTTTACATTCAGGTAAATAATGTGAATATTTGGTCACAACTGGCTACACACTCAGCAACATGTGTAGATGAGGATATTTTGTTATTATTTCCTGTAGGGAGTTGAAAACACAAGGCGGTTTCTTCTTGAGTGGCTTTCATTTCAATGTCGGTAAGTCTGCTCAGATAGTAAATAAATATGCTTACAGCCTAGAAAGTTCAACAAAAAGTTCAAACAGGAATTGACTGCATTTCAAATAATATACAGATTACTCAAAAAGTGTAGCATTCCTCCTAACTTGATAATTTTCTTAGGTATATTCCTACAGGTCTGCTTGAACGGCTCCCACAGCGAATCAATGAAAAACCTCCACCATACTTTGGTCGAAATGATCTGGAAACTTTGTTGTCAAGTGGAAACTCTGCTGATTGGGTTAAAATAAGGTAAAGCAGTACATGCAGAACTGTCTGACCTCTTCAATTTATTCTGGTAATTCCATTGTTTGTATGTTGTGGCAGGTATATATGTTGTTTATAAATAAATGCTTCACCTGTTTACCATTAATTTAATGTGAGGTACAGTAGCCCAACAGTTGGTCTGCTGGACTCTTGGTCAAGAGGTCTGGGTGGGAAACCTGGTGGGGTTTTCATGATGAGTCTTGGGGAAAGACTCTTTACTCCTACCATGCCTCATTCTCTCCAGCCAGGAGTGCAGAGGGACAGTGCAGTCGAACCTTGATCATCTGGACTCGTTGGGACTCAACAAAATAGTCCAGATAATTGAGGGTCCAGATAATCGAGAATATGAATATTAATGAGGAACAACAACTGATTAAATTACAAAAGTGACATTTAATTGTGGAACAAAACACAAATGGACTAGATGATCGTGAATAAACATTCATGACACTGTGTAGCTTGTTTATCTCACATATATACCATGCCAAACAAGCCAATTGCATGTGAAATCTCTCTTAGCAAGAAAGTAACTTTAAGCCCATCAGAACTCATTCAAATGTTCTTCATTAGTCACAATGCATGCAAGCGTTACTTTTGCTTTTTGAAAGCCAAACAAACTTGCATTTACTTCACTTTTCAATGCTCTAGTTTTAAAGAATATGGCTACAGATCTTGATCATGACTAATAAATTTTCATGACAAAACTGGCTTTGGAGAAAAAGTCTGGATAATCAAGAAATCCGGATAATCGAGATCCAGATAATTGAGGTTTGACTGTACTGCATGAACTGCATTTTTTATAACTCTTTGATCCCTGAGAATAACTCGCATCTAATTTCTCTTGACAACATTGCCCTTGAATTACACATTAAGGTCACAAGAATAAAGGAAATGATTACAAATGAAAGAAGCTCTCGGCTGGGAAACAAATTCTACTTGTCTGGACCTTAGGAATTGCAAAGAGAACATTATAGAGAATATGCACGCAGATGTTAGGATGTAAATGGCTTATTTTAGTTATAATAAGCAAAACCAGCTAAAAGCTGAACTCTAATTGCTTAAATTATTTTTTGTGGGCCTTCTCGTCATTTGAATTTCACAATAAAAAGTTTGTGGTTCACTAGACTGTGTAATTTTGCTGGAAAAGGATACAGAATGCATGATCATCATCACATAATTTTGAAAATAACTTTTAAGATCACAAAAAGCAGTGATGTAAAGTTCTTGTAAAGCAATACGTTTTGAAAGACCATCAATGTTAAACTCTGATAAAGAAAGAGAAAGATTGAAATATTATTTAACAAGGATGACTGCATAGGGTAATATACACTGACATGTAGCTTTCTGGGCTGTTTTTGGAGTTGATGCCAATGGTTTTGCTGTTTTCTTCAAATTAAAGAAATGTTAAAATTTTTTTACTACAAATTTTGGAAAGTGATCTGCTAATGTCTGATGAATTATCAGTGCAAAATGATAAGAATCTGATAATTTTTTTCTTTGCATTTTTCTTTCCAGTGAGATGCTCTTAGGTCCTGTCCCTTCTGGATTCTGCTTCATACCCAAGCACAAGTCAAACTCCTACACTGAAACCGAAGGATAGAATAATAGAACTTTTACTTTCTCAATGAAAATCAGCTACAGTAATTGTAGGTTTAAAGATAGTATCCACAAATATTTGAGGGGTGCTTATCATCTTCTTTGTCATGCATTATAACTGCCTGGGGCGCCAGGATTAAAGATCATATCAAAATGTAGATATCTGGTTAAAATGTTCAGCTTTTTCATAAATATTTTTGAAGATCTGGTAGGCATTGATTTTCTTTTATTGTTTTCTTGGAGGAAAAGTTAATGAATGGACTGAAATGTAGTCAATGGTAAAAAAAAATGAAGTGAACACATGGTGTATGGATGTCATCTTCAAAACAGTCCATTATGGTGCTTCCAAATCTTAAATATAATGTATGATGTCTATGATTGGTGGAGTGGAAAAAATGATGAAAGAGCCAAAAACCTGATAAACCCTGGACCCATTCCAATCAAACAGAAACCAAAATTTTGAAGACTTACAAAAATATCCAGACCAAACAGTGATTTATTAATGTTCTCAGCAGCTGTTCGGATCGTTTGTAATGTGGTTGCTTTCTAAAACTGTGAGTAATGGTTCATTTTTCTCCAAAATTGTCAAAATTATGTGTGGTGTATTTTATGAGGCCATTACTGGTCAAGGAAATGATTGTAGTGTTGTACTAGCTTGAATTGTCACAGAAAGTTCCTCCATGACTCAGCGAGTTTTGTACAAGAGCAATAAAACTCGGTCTACGCGCAATAATGGGGTATTGAGTGACTAAGACAATAAAAATGATTAATTGAAATAACTGTGAAAATTTGGAACTGCTTTTTTAATTCATATTTGAATTGTTGAGCCATATTGTGTGCCAAATTCTTTCCTCTTGATAGAATCTGAATTTTATGGCTTTTGCATGTTTGATATTCGTGGGCAAAATGGCACCAATCCACTGTACCAACCCCCTTGATACTAATGTGTCAAATAACTAAGCAATGGATTAGTTTGCATCAGTTATTTTTGCATAAAGGGAGGAAACTTGTCAATTACTTTGAAAGATGTAGCCCAAGGCCTCTTCACGATCTGGTGACAATTCGCGTTTTTAATTTCCTTTACAACGTCGCACAACACGGAAGTTACATAAGATCTTGGAAAATGAAAGTGTGATATCTCGTCCATTCAATCACAACATATAATATTTTTTCGATAGCCCCATTCCGTAAAAAATTAAAAATATCTACCTTTTTTTTGCCATGCCATTCGATTGTAATGGCTAATAGATGACTCTTTCACCAACAAAATCAGAGTCACAGTGACGACTCGAATATGATTGCTTCGCTCATCGGGGCTTCACTCACGTCTATGACGTAACGGTCGCCAAGGTTACAGGGTCTCAATTCCCCGCGCGGGAATTTGTTATTGATATGGAGCCTGTTGGCAATGCTGAGTAACTTGTGATATGGACGCTTTTCTTCTCTTCAGTTTCTAAAGATGTTGATCAATAAGTGACGCAGTGAATTCAGCTGGTTCTTTTGTCACACAAAGGAAATGGACACAGAACACGGAGTAAGGTACGATCGAAGCGCCAATTTGTCGACGCGATGCTGTCATCTTCGTCCGCACTGTATTTATTTTATCGGATAAAAATCAGCTATGTTAATTTGAGCTCTTTTCTGTATTTTCAGTGCCGAAAAGTTTACCGCTTCCCTGGCGAAAGCAAGCGAGAAAGCGGTGGCATATCTGGGTAGTGTAGGTAAGCGATCAAAGTTTGGGCTAAGTAGCACTTGCCCTTGCATTATTTTGACGATGTTATTGTCTGTTGTAAGTTTGGATAGTTTTGAAATTTCGTTTATCATCTTAGAATTATGCCACGAACAACCTGCTTGGCGAATCGTAGAAATCTTGTCGTCTTGAGTTTATTGAAAAAACTGTCAGTCTCTTAAATGCAAGATGCGCTTTGCATCAACTTAACCCCTCGTGTGTATTTCGTAGACTTTTAGCTTCCTAGCGATACATTTGTTTAAACGTGTCGTTGTCTTGGGGGCTAAATTAAAACTGAAAGGTTTGGTTTAAACTTATGTTTCATTTTGGGTTTCGTCTGAGGATGTTTTATCCAGCTGAAAGGAAGCACAGTGAGGAATGTTTTGTTAGTTCGTTAAATACCAAATTGCATTGATTCCCGGAGCATTTCAATAAAAGATTGAATGTCGAAAAATATGACAACACATGTCAATATTGATTAGAGGAAAAAAATTCAAATGAGCCTTCCTCCGAAGAAAATCTTTTTAATCCACTTTTCTTACGAGATTAGGGAAATGAATACACCAACTAAGTTAAGAGTTTTTGATCAAACGAACGATAGTACAAATAAAGTTGAATGTAAATTTCCGCACAAACTGATAGCCGACGGCAACAAAAGGGCGATGAGAAGTCTCAATGAAACATTTGTTTTTGATTTGAATAAATATGACAATGGACGTATTAAGTTGTACGAAACTCGATCTCTTTGCTTTCGCAACAGTTAGTATCAAAGGCTTGTATTGCAAAGATAGCACGAATTTTAGAGTTTTTGAATTGCTTATGTGGAACTTGATATCTTTAGTTTACCATCGTCTAAAATTAGAAACATATATAGCAATTGGAAATGTTGCGTTCTCAAGAAAGCTTTTTATCGGACATACTTATATTAAAATTGCCACCTTGCTTTTGATTTTCTTTCAAATAATTACATAAAAGCAAAGAAAAAAAATGAGGTCGTTTGAGTAATTTCACAATATTAAGCCAGGTGGGATACCGGTTTATGACCAACATTGTTATTCAAATCTTTGTCACTTGAACAGCTCATTTTAATGGTTCCAAACTAACTCTTTGTTCTAAACAGAATTATTTCTGTTGTTAAGAATAGACTTGTTAAGAATGAAAAAAGAAATCTAGTTTTCAAGAAAGCTTTTAAAAGCTTACATTTGATATGGTTTCTGATGACATAAAAAAATTAGAAATGGGTGTCCTTTCAATTAAAATGTATTTATCACTGTACACTTCTATCCCGTGTGGTTAAATAAATTAAATTATTTCATCTTGTGCAAATTGTACAGACAAACAAGTTAATTCGTCCGTTCATATGACTTTTTTTGGTTGACGCTAAATATAAATTTCTAACCAGTTATGGCATAATTATGTGGTGGGAGAGATCAGTGTCTTTGTGTGTTCTCCTATGCACAAAAAAAGTGAAACCAGCATCTTTAATGAAACTCCTTTAGTAATAAAAAATTCTTCTTTGTCAATCAGAGTTATGTTTGTTATCCTTTTATGTCTAATATGCATGCATCACTGGGCAGATAGATCTTGAGAATATAAAACAAGACTCAAATGTTGATCAAGGATTTTTTGAGCAATCTGATGGAAAACCTTACATCTGCTAAAATAACCTTCCTCAGCCAGGAAAGGAAGAGTGTGCTATATATTCTTTCTTGATGTGTTTCTTGTTGTCTTTCTCTCATTGTGCAGCCAGTGGGCTGGCATCAAAAGGAGCGGTTTGTTAATATCACAAAGTCTCATTCATTATACTAATTTCAACCTGGTACCATTAGCAAACAACCCACTTCAACATTTGTATGTTTGATGCATTCCTTAGAAGTTAATGATTTTGTGTGCACGGAATGTAGTAATAGCCTTTACCCCAAAGGTTTCTCAACACCCTTTACAACAAAACCACTAAGTTCATATGTTTTCTGAAGGATTTCAGTTGTGCAAGTGTGTGCTACATTCCCATTGAGTTTGCTGATGATGTGTGTACTGTCAAGCAAAGAAAAATTAAACTTCCTTTCACACATCATACAAAGTACCATACTGATTGACAATTGGTTCATACGTCAGCTGTGTGTTCATTGACGTATATACAGATATAAATTATTTGGGAAGTTTAGAGGGCACTCTACAAACTAAAGATGGATTAGCCACCACCAGTATCTAGATAGGGTGATAAGAAATTAATTTACATTTGAAAGCAGTAAGGTTTGTATCATGACAAGGTCACCCTAAGCCTCACCCCTGTTCAAAGGCTTGGCAACCACACACAAAACCCTAAAATGGACTGTTTTCTATCTAGGTACTTTTCTCAGTATAGTCACTGTTAAGTATGTTGTCTTAAGTTTTTTTGATGTAGTATAGCATATAACAAAGTTGGAGCATTAATTGCCCTAAAATGGACCTTATCACTCGTAACATTTGGGGAAAAAATTGTGACATTATGACATTCATTTTTTTGAAAAGAAAACATGACAAGCTTGCCTACAATAAAGTGATAATATTTAATAATGATATTGTTGTAGTAAGTAAATTATATAAACAAGGGTGAAAAGGAAATATAGACGTAAAAAAGACAGACACAAATCATAAGCATACCTTGCATGGTTAAGCTAGTAGAAAGCAGACTTTAACAATTTTAACCCTGGTCATAAGAGTCACTAGCATCTAGTTTATTCTTACAGTATAATACTGCTCAATGATTTATAAAGATCATGAGTCTAAAAGAAAGATCACCACCGTTAGAGGCTTTGATTGTTAATCACATTTGTCTAGTTCATATCAAAGGAAATGTATAGACATTATGGGGAATGAATAATAATATGGTCATTGATGTCAGGGTGTAAAGGGTTAATTTGTGGTCTGGTGTGGAGTATTGTGGGTTTGAAAATCCATAATAGGGTTACAGCACCCTAAGTTTTACTCTTCACACTGTAATTCCCATATGTGCAAATTCTCCATACTGTTCTGTATACATTCCGCTAAAGTACTGAAAAGGAGAATTTTAACAGGTAACAATTAAGAGCTTCTCTAGTTGGTGATCAAACCCTTTATTCTTGTGATTAATGTGAGATTGGAAGGTGTTATTGTAGGAGAAATTAGAAGCCAGTCACTCTTAGAGGTCAATCAAAGGGTTAATCAGTTTTTCTCAACTGAACCTTTATTTTTCTTCACACAGATGATGAGATATGGGAGTCATTGTTGTTTTCTGACTCACTGGTGACTACATCTCAGACTGGCAGAGTAAGTCCATCTTTGTAATATTTTCTATGTTGAATTATTCAAACTAAAACCAATCTACTTCACCACTAGTGTTAATTCCAATCCTTGTTTTAACTTTGATTTGTGGTTCCCTGGTGAAGATCTTTCAAGGATCTTTAAGGATCTTACAAGATCTTCTTGAGGACCTTTGAGGATCCTCTTAAGGATCTTTATGAGGATCTTTGGAAAATCTTTGAAGATCTTTAAAATTCTTGTTAAGATCTTCATTTTCTTGCCAAGATCTTCAGGGATCTTCAAAGTTCTTGTCAAGATCTTCAAGGATCTTTTATTTTCTTGCCAAGATCCTTGAGGATCTTGTACAGATCTTTAAAGATCTTGACAAGATCTTTGTGATGAGTAGCACAATCACCATACCCACTTCTGTAACATGTACAGAAAATGTGAAAATTGCTAGTTTGGGACAAAATCACTTCTTTAGGTCTATTTTAAACTCACATTTATTATTACAACTGATTTATTTCAAACTATTTTATTTTTGTCACATTTGATTCAAATTTGTATTTCCCAGAATCCCTTGTGGGTGTGGTCTTTTTCACAAATAATCAATTTCGAGTTCACTGACATAGTAAAAAGTAGAAATAATAACATTTTGTATTACATGGAGGTTAGTATCTCCTCAGTGAGATCAACTGGCACTCTAAAAACAGACTTTCTGCCTCTTTTTACAACTTGAAGATCACATCACCATTTTTCTCTTGGAAATTCAGCTCTCTTTTTGTGATTCTTTTCATTATATTTTAGATTCCTTAGCCTATTCTTTTCCTGCTTTTTCCTCCTCCACTCTTTGATCCTCGCAAGCTTTTCTTCCTTTTCGTTAACCATACCTCTTGTCAAGCGCACTTGAAGCGATTTTTACAGATTGCTAAATCTCAGAAAAATTATTGAGCTTGAAGACCCAGCTACCCTTGATAACGTCGCAGAAACCGCCAAAACAGGAAAGGTTACTATAGCCGCAAACGCTAATCACTCGTATTTCAAACTTTACTAGAACAAACTTGACATATTGTTGAATACGGTAACTGAAAATGACAAAATTACAAACACGCGAATGAGCATAAAATAACTTACATCGTATGAGTGAAAGTACTGGAAAACGACAAAGCGAAATAAACAAGGATACTTACAAGACGAATGTGACCAAACCAAAGACGAAAACATGAAACCCAGAGCTAGATATGTAACGATAATTTTCGCAAACTAGACAACTAACCAAATAAATTACGCGCAACCAATATATATACGATATGCAAATAAATATCACAAGTGCAAAACTGGTAACTGACAAAGGACACTAATGAAGACGAGAAAATAAACACCTAACACAAAACTATGAAACACCAACACTAACAAAAAACGATGATACAAATTCCTGCGCCTACAGTTACCAAGCTATTTTCGACACGGAGATGAAAAGATGAAGGCGAAAATGGCGGAGCAAACAGCAGATTTCATAGCGCTTTTGGTGGCATTTGTGGCGAGACTCCGTTCTCAGTATGGCGTCAACATGGTAAAAAGCGTAGCGACTTGGTCAAAAGTGAATATTTTGGCCGTTTCTAAAGATATGGACCCGAAAACTTGGAAATGACAAGAGAAACTTATGAGCATTGAAGTGTATCCGATTTTGAAACCCGACTTCGCCGTGTTTGAAGTATAGTGGCGAAGGGGAAGGTAAGTTGATGAAAAATATTATTGCGTAATCAGGTTTTAGAAAACCGTAGCGACTGTTTTACACTGATATTTCTCCGTTTATAGTCAATCCTTTAGACTGATTTTTCGCTATTTTAGAACACCAAGTATGAGCATTTGGTTAATGTGTTTTTGTTCCCACAGGATTCCAGTTCAGTCAATCTACGGACAACAACTTGGTGTACTTCCAAATTCTGAAACCCAGCGTTACACAAAGGATACTTAAGAATGATGAATCTTTTCTATTCGTTTTAATAAACTTGAAATGTCAAAGTTTTGCTCAAATGTAGTGTTTATTGTGTGTTATCATTAGGTGTAATTTGTTTAGTCAAACGAGCTTTCTTTTCAGTGAAAAATGTATTTCAAAAATTTTACCACTGATATTGTGTTACGCGTTACAACCAAAATTGGCTCGATTTTTCATCTTTCACGGGTATTTTCTCGAAGACAGTAATGTGGTTTTCTGATTTTTTGCTTTTACAATAATCAATAAGAACAACTTTACCTGTAAGCAAAGATTTGGCTTCAATGAAAATGTAAAACAGAAGAAATCATTGAAAGTTTGCAGTCAACCCCCTATGGGCATGGTGATTGTGCTACTCATCTGAAGATTCTTTAAAAATATTTGAAAATTCTTTGAGGATCTTCCAAATTCTTGTTATTATAGATCTTTGAGGATCTCTATTTTCTTGCAAGGATCTTCAAGGATCTTTTACTTTCCTGCCAAGATCCTGAACAATCGTGTCATCAATCTTCAGAGATCTTGTTAAAAATTTTGAAGATTCTTAAAGATCTTGGCAAGAAATTGAAAGATCTTTGAAGATCTTGGCAACAAAAAGAAAGATCCTTGAAGATTTTGACATGCAATTTAAAGATCTTGGCAAGAGATTTGAAGATCCTTAAAGATCTTGACAAGAATGTCAATGATCCTTGAAGATCCTGGCAAGGAAATGGAAGATCGTTGAAGATCTTGGCAAGAATGTTATAGAACCTTCAAAATTTTGACAACAAAATAGGCATACTTAATGATAGGTTTATAGAGTGAAGCATGTACTTAACCACCAAAGATGTTAACTATTGAAGAATGGATCTAGAGGTCTGATTAATGCTCACTTGGTGTAAACAACAAGGTGACAATGGGTTAAATTGCTTCTAGTGATATTTACCTTTCTTCTAAACTGACCAATATAATTACTCTGGTTTTATTTTACAACACTCAAATTTCTCTTTTCTCCTATACAAAGGTTCATTGCTTTTGTCTGTATAATGTTTTGTTATGATAAAAAAACAAACAGGTTTTTTCTTTTATTTAAGGTGCAAGATAAGAACTGCAAAGAACAAAAGTGGACAGTCTTTGCTCAATTGTTTTAATAAAGTTGATATAGCTCTGCAAGTTTTGAAGACCATCCGTAGACCGAAGTAGAGCAACACCAACACAGACAAATTAGACTTTAAAACATCAGTGTATCTTTGTTTAGAATGCATGATGTTCTTAATGATAGTTTTAAGTAGACCCTGGCTAGTGGAAACAAAATAGCAGTAATTTTATTTACATGTACATGTAGTTCCCAATGATATTTGAGGCAGCTTTTCTTCACTCTAGGAAATAGGTGAAATGACAATAACTGTGGAAAACACCATGTGGAGAGGGGAGCCTTGTTATCTTGTTCATGCTAACAGCCATGGGTCTATAGATCAAGTACCTATTGGGACATCAGTAACAGGTTAGCTATTAATCACGCATTGGCCCTTTGAACACTAAGAGTGACTAGTATCTAATTGCTCCTTACAATTTCACCCTTGAATCATACATTAAGGTCGCAGGAATGAAGGTAATGATCACCAACGAAAGAAGCTCTTGATTGTTAAACAAATTCTCCTTGCTAACACCTTAGGAAATATAGAGAACAGTATGGAGAATATGCATACTGATGTTAGGGTGGGAAGGGTTGATGGATGGTTGAAAAGGTGATCTTCATGTTCATGTGATATTTACTTTTGTACTGACTCTACAATGTATGGAAACAATTCTACTTCATAACTGTAACTGTTTTGTTTTTGTTACAGCTTATGTTGGAAGATCTCTTCAGACATTTGAGCAAACCCATTATGAATATGTCAAGGTAAGGAATTCACAAAACTGTATTCATTATTATTACACAGATGAATTTCTGATAAACATATGAGGCAAATTTAGTGTACAACGGAGTTTTCACTTGGAGATTTTAAACCCATGTGGGTAAGTGGTTTATTTAAAAATAACTGCCCCTTTTTCTGCAATGACTGCAAAATGCTTCCATGTTTTGAATTATATTTTGAACAGAGATTCTTATCATATGGGAGGTATGGTTCAAAAATTGGGGAATATTTTGATCCGACATCTTGGTAATAATAAAATTTGCTTAAATATAAGGAAAGCAAGTTAAAGAGCAGTTTGTCAATATGCATCAGTCACCTCACACTGCTGAGGAGAGATTGATCAAGAAACTGTTGATCAAATGTAGAGTACTTTTCAGGAGACTTTGATATGTTTGTAGATACCGGATAACCCTCTGGATAAAAAGACTCTTATTGTACTGGATGAGGATGGAACATACTCTGTAAAGAAGACTGAATCACAAGGAGATGTAAGTCATCTTTTGAAGTATGACAATAAATAGATAAATGAATAAGTGATGTAAGATAAAAGGGGAAAAGAAAGGACATCTCAATCCAAGGTCAGAAGGTCAAAGGAGGATAGAGAGAGAAATTTTTAGCCCTCCACTGTGAAAAAAAGGCCTTAACATACAATTAATATATTTTTTTTTTCACTAGTTTTTCATTATGTAAGAGGGTGGAATAAGTCCAAAATTCAAAAGTAGATTAGTTGTGTGTCGGTTACCCTCCTTTTCACTGTGTTTGGCATGCTAACCTGTTACCCAAAGTTTGTGGGGCATCTTAAGCTATTTCCCCTTATTCACTATGGCCTTTTTTGACAACTTTGGATTTGCTTGTATGACACTTGATCAAAATAATCTAGCATTTTAAAGTTCTTGGTACATGTAACTGATACACCATGGACCTCAACAGAGGCTCTGAAGAATCTAGAAATGGAGTTTGTGGCCTTATGATATTTTTCTTTTTGCAGTTGAATTTTGTAAAAACATACTTGGGTCAATTTACACATCTTACTTTCTTAAAGACAAATTATTCAATCCGTGCCGAAAAATTTTTTTATCTGTGTTTTCTGGCTTGCTTTGATAATTTTCATTTCTTGTAGGAAATGCAGAGAACTGACAAATATTTCAAAAAAGAATTATTCCAGGGTTTTATATCTGAAGGTCAGTTTCTATATTCATATGGTGTTTTCATTCATTCCTGTATTTGTTTCCCCTTTCATTCATGTGACCATTGTCTCTTGACATGCATTATTTACTTATCTGTATTTTTTTGCAGGTTCTAATCTGTTGCTACAGAGAATCATGGTAAAAAGAGGAGTTCCCGAGGACATGACATTTGTTGCATTTGACTCAACAACTAGTCTGTGTACTTCATCTTATGTACGAATCTGCATCACATTGAGTTTTTGTATTGTTGTGTTTTTGTTTCGGGAGAAGAAATTTAGCATCTTGCTTTTACTCCCTCACAGAAAATGCTTGGCAAGTCAGAGAGGAGAATTGGTTTGCAACAAGTTCATGCGGTTGGACTGAATCGTACGATTCATTCAGTTGAGGAGTCGCCTACCACTTGGGAATCGTACTTCTTGTCGACAGGGTGAGTTTTAGTGTAACATTTTTCTTTGTTTTAATCAGATTTGTGGAGGCATAGATTAGTGGTTTAAGGTGCTGAGTGTGAAATCTTAAGCTTCCAGGTTCAATTCCCTTATTCTGACCGGAAATTCAATTTGTTTCTCAGTAGTCTCGTGTTCAGCTTCTCCACTGTGTTTTGTTATCAGCCAACTAGGTTGATTTGCCTCCACTAATTTACATTTTCGATAAATTTTTCTCCCATAACTCCAAAAGGCCAGATGTATCTTAGACTCAAAGACACTTTTGGATAACAATAGAGACTGTGAAACTCATGAAATTTAAGTTGACTGAAAGTTTTTAAAGGCGAGTGTGTTTAGAGAACTCTTTCTTGTAGGCATCTCGCAAGTCGAACACAGCTGGGTTCTGGGGTGACCATGACCTTGTCAAGAATTCCAGAGGAACATCAGATTACAAGTGAGTGTACATGAAACAAGATTATTCGTCTCGTTATTCCAAGTTGTGACTAGCTATTTCGAGTATTTTGTTTGCTTTTTTTTTTTCAGAATTTTGTATTTTTTACAAAGAGAGATGGCGTCAAGAAGTTGTTAAACTGGAAATAAACCCTGAGATCTATTGCGATCGCTGTTTACAGATTATTTAAGTCGTAATATTTTTGCAAATTTTTTTAGATACAGACTTATCAGAAGAGACAACAGAAGTTAAACCACTCAAATGGGAAGAAGATATGCAACTATTTTCGCGTTTTTTAGACCGAAAGGTAGGGGTAACTATTTTAGTCCGTTTGTATGTAACTAAGTTGTGGTGAGAGCGTAAACGACTTACGACATATTAAGGAGACACACAGTGTTAGCTCTGCTAAGTTTTGACTCTTTGACTCTCAATATCTCATAATTAATTCTCCATTTTGTGTGCTGCATATTTCTTATAAAGTTAGGTCTGAGAACATTTTTGCAGAATCATAATGTAAATCTGTAAAAACAGGCTTCAGGACTGTTAGAACTGATTTTTACACCTCTCGTGTGTTTTCAGGCGGAGTTGGCTGACGATCACGCAACCTACATGAGAAGGCATCCAGAGCTGCGGGCTCTCCTTGCCGACTTTCTGCAATTCTTACTGCTTCGAAAACCTGATGACGTCACCGGCTTCGCCTCTGAGTTTTTTGGCGCGTTTTCTACAGCCGCGCCCTCTGTACCTTCATTCGCTCGCTCTTCTCCAGGTCCTGCGCGACCTTCCTCTATGCCTTGAGGACTTTGAGATACTTGGCCTCATGCAGTCCTTCCTCACATCCCCTTCAGACAAGCAGCTTCAGTCAATATTGTACATGATACGAAAAGAGAATTCATATAGTTTAAGTTACAATGTTTTCCTTACCTCATGAAATTTTTATTAGTGTGTTCTCGGTGGTGATTTTAGCAGTTGATAAGCTCAAATATGGGTGAGAAGCGTTAAGTAGTCATTTGTCTCTAATTAAAGGATTCATGGCTCACCAAGTTAGTTTCTTCTTGTTTATTTCGAAAGATAAACCTTTTCAAAAGACGGTGGCTGAACAATGTACCCTTTGAGCTTAAAGCTTGCCACATTGTACTTTCCCTTACAGTAGTGTTCCGTAACTCATTTTTGTTCTTCATTTCATGCCTCCACTCAAAATGTGGAAAATAAGAAAAAGGGCGTGAGGGCATCCTCTGCGTACTAAGCCCCCATCCAGTCCTCAGCGATTTCCTTTGAAAACGCGCACTTTTTGATACATGATAAAGTGGCGGCAAATACTATTCCTTAATTTCCACCGGAGATTCGTGAACTTGGGAAAAAGTGAAAGAAATGTTAACAGAACTCAATCGTATCATATTTGGTAACGATAACTGTCTCAGAGGCAGTTGTTGCTCATCCCCAGGGACAATCGTACTCACGAACCGTTTCTTTTGATCACATGTACAAAAGAAGAGAAGAGTCTGGGACGGTGTGTTGTGATGTGGTATCCTTGATGTACAAAAGATCTGTGAGCACAAAATCGAGGAGCTCCCATAAGCTCTAAGAAAAGTACCTTCGCTGACTACATGTGTGAAACGTTGAATCATCACATGATTCCTATCTGCTTGCCAAGTGCATAATACGCGGAGATTTAATTTAATGTCCTTTCATTGTTTCAAATCAGGCTGGAAAACAAAATCTTTTGACGAAATTGTATTGAAATAAACTAAACACTTGTCTCGATTTGAGGATTGTGTTTTCTCGCCAGTAAAAAGCGTATGGACTTTCTGTAAGATGGCAGTCTCCACGCGAAAATGAATGCATCGGCAGCAGCCTTTACGAAAAGAAATAGATCAGTTATTCTTAACAGAATATTCAAAACGACTTCCTCTTTCTGGTTCCGGTATTGTTTGTACAAGAAAATGTAAAATACACCAATGTGTGGAAAAGCCGAAAAGAGCAATATTGCAGCGAGGTAAAACGTCATCAGAACAAAATTTCTGTCGTAATTGCGGCTGCGAGTTTGTAGAAGTCTTTTTCCGCTAGTTTTTTGCGGAGATGCGGTATTGCTGTGAAGATGAAATAATAAACTGGTCGTTCGAGTGATTTTGTGAATCTGCAAGTGTCCTTTAAAAGCCCTATATATTAAAATCTGAAGAACGGCGAGTATCGCTGAGATAATTGTGGAATGCAGTGTCAAATTCAGTTTGAAAAACAAGATTTGATCCATACCTAAAACAGGTAGGAGGCTGAATACGGTGAAGTACAACCATGTTGCCATAACGGATGAGAGTGCAAATCTCTTTCTGATCCAAATCTTGTATTTGTAAGGGTATTCTATGGCAATAAACTGTACAAAGGACAGCATCAGTACCATCACGAAGGAAGCATTCAGCGAGGCTGTCGAAATGATTGAGCTGATTACAAAAAGCGTGTGTGAGATGACTTGAAATTTATCGCCGGCTGTAAAGTAGCGTACAAAAAAGTATAAGGCGAAAAACGGCTCAACCAGCAAGCCACACAAAAGGTCTGCTATCGAAAGACCAAGAACAAAATAACTTGTCGGTTTCTTGAAATAGTTAAGAGGATCTTTGATAATTGTGGTGATTAACAAAATGTTTGTGGCCACTGTTATGGGACTCAGAAATGCAAGCGTGCATGCAGAAGCCAACTCAATCCGGGAGTATGCCCCATTTTGGATAGAAGAGGAACTCCAGTTTGTACTCAGGTTTGAAGACTGTTCACTCATTGTAAACACACACAGACTTGTTTTCGCGTCAGGTAGTCTAAGCATCCAGTGTCTCGTGGCGCGGACGAGTGTTATAACTGTTTTGTGAAACTCCTGTTTTTGCCCCTTTTTTTTCAATTCAGCGATTGTGAACTTGTTTTTTACGCCGCGTAGTGAAATAAGTTGGATAGTTCATCAAACTGATTGTTTTAATCTTCCGGTTTCGTGTACGTTCCCACAACACTTCAATCCCAAGCTGATGAAAAACCAACAATTCATTACCGCCGTATGTTAATCATCTCTTTACTTGCAATATAGATTAATGTTGGACCAGCTTTTTAAGGAAAATTGCAAAATGCGTTCCCGAAAAAAATTCAGATGCTGAAGAGCGAATTCATGAATTTACTCACAGCGAGAAAACCAAAAATATGCACTAACGTCTAGCCACTAATTCAAACATCGTTTACCTTGTAACAAGTTTTTGTGCAAATAACTCGAGAAAGACGAGGAAAACGAATAAACAAATATTTTATTTCCAACCCAATCACACCTACCTCAGAGCAAGTCAATTACATTAATTCTCGGGTTTTTTCTTGATGAATTCTTTTTGATCGTTCTCCCAAGGCAAACCAAGTTTATTATCAATAAGACAACTTCATCCAAAACGGGGAAAAATCTGGCCTAGTACCATTATTTTACAGCCACAGGCCATCAGTAGCTTTTCAAGTTATTGATCTTATTCCCGGAGCGCATTTGAAATATATTGGATTTTCTGCCTCTTAATAGAGCAATCGTAGACTTCGAAATAACAAAAGAAAAGGTGAAAAAGTGAATTAATGAGCTCTAAAGTGTGACAATAGATTCTTATTTCGATTCCTATTTTCAAGGAATACACACAGCTGAATCAAAATTACAGGTTACTGAACGATGGAAATTATTAAACGAAAGAGAAGTAAAAGACACTTTATTAGAAACATTAGCTTCCTTTTAGCGAATCGTTTTAAATTTTTACAATCATGTCTGCTGAGATTAGTTGAATCGAAAAGCTGTCCAATTTCGTTCGTAAAGTTATAATTCCCAACGCAAATAATTATAATAACAAAGGCCTTTTGTTTTAACTTAATAACGAGGGGAGCAAAAGAGGTTGGAATGCCGGTACAAAAAGAGATTTTAAAAATTACGTTGTAATTGAGTATATTTTTTTCTGTCGGGAAATCACCCTGGACGGAAGAATATTACAATGGTTTTTCGTCAAGTATTTGTTTTGTCTAAAAGTTTTTGTTTCTTTAAATTGAAGGGGAAGGTAATTGTCACAGGGCGTTAACATGAAACCGGACACAATTTTCAGCAGGAACCTGCTAACGTTTTAATCAGTGTTTGCCTCCTTTCAATTTTTAAAATTGAAATCGAAAGATGATGGCAGATGCAGCTGCAGTTTGGCATTTTTTTTGAAAGCTTTGTTTTTCGAAAGTAATCAGTCGATGCATTTCGTTGCATCACGGTTGGAGGGTTTTTTCTGTAAGCAAACTGCATATTGTGCCGGAAGGTTTTCCCAATTTTTCATCGCTTACCTCTAGCTAATAAACGACTGCTCATTTCCATTAGAATTATGCATGAACAAACTAAAGTAACATAGAAGATCAAAACATTATTTCCAAGCCCGAAAAACCAGTGATTTTTTAACAGTTTATACAACAACTGTTCTGAACAAATTTTGCCGCCAGCTAAATATATCAAGTTATGAAGCGTTTGAGGTGGGAAGTTCTTTTGCTTCCAAGTAATAAAGACCTTTTGCTCTCTTAGTTGTTACTTAACGTCCAGTGAGGAATTTTGTTTAATAAAGACGACTTTCTTTTCCATCACAAGCCGAGACGAAATCAAGAGGAATCTTGATTAAGATTTCAAACTACTTCCTTTAGCATTATCAGTCGGATGGTCAACCGCTGACCTGTACAGTTCTAGTGACGATTCCGTAACGGAAACTCCTGTCAAAAATTCGTCGTATGGAAGCCCTTCCCCACCCTCCCGTCCCCCCGCTATTAAATAGGTCTCAAACCGTAGGCCAGAACCATTTTGGTCGTCGGTTGTAACCACCAGAGGACTGTGTCAAGTGTAGCCTACTTGTAGCCGTACCCTCCCCCTCATGGTGACACGTTTCACCTTAAAGGGGGAAGGGTACGGCTACACGTAGACTATGTCACCCAGGGATTGTATTTCCTATTTTCTCTTGTACTATTGATATTCAAAAAATTTTTCGAGAAAATTGTTCGCTACTTTATGAGCTGAGCACAAAATAAATTTGGGTTAATGACTGTGGGGAATCCAACCTCACAACAACATTTAATTTTGTCTTGGTCTGTTCTGCAAGCTGAGCAGAAAACATACTTGGGTCAACCTCCCAAAGGTTTCACAACTCCAGATCTCGCAATTTTGCCATCAAATACTCAAACAGCTGAGCGAAAAAAATTGTTTAGATCGACCTTCTTGAGAATTCAGATCTTAGACTTTGCACTTTCGGTGTGAAGTACTCTGCCAGCTGAGCAGAGAGAAGTTTTCTTAATCGACTTACGCGAGGATTCCAACCTAAGATCTTCCAGCTACACAGACACATCCTGTTAATGTCCTTGTTCCATAACAAAGGGGAGAACAAGACACGAAAACGGTTATCATAATAGTAAAATGTTTATTTGAATCTCCAACCAACTTCTAACGAAAGAATTCAAGAGAATTCAATGGTAAAAAAAGCTTCATTCTTTCATCCTACTATTGACTGTTCCTTCATCTTAAATGCTTCTTTTCAGTGAATGGAGAGGTTGGGTACAGTCAGTTCTTCACCTTAGGAACCAGTATCACGGGCACGTGCGCATGGTGTATGATGTAGTCACTGACACTTCCTAATATGGTGCGACGGATTGTGCCCATTCCTCGGCTGCCAACCACTATAAAGGCAGCACCTTCCTTTTGAGCAGTTTTACAAACATGGTCTCCCGGATGTCCGCTTTGGATGATGATTTTGGCAGAAACCTAGAGGATATAAAATCAGCATAACCATGGTATGAGGTGTTTTAACCTAAAAATTTTGGCAAAGTATAGCTTTTTACTGCAATTGTTTTTTAGAAATAATAAGCTTTTTGCATTTCTTAAAATAATCAACGGACGACATGTGACCAGGAAAATATCCGGGAAAACACGTAACCCAGGGTCTAACACTCTAGAACGTATAACTACTGAAAAGCGCAAGAAAACTTTAGTCAAGGAAAAGGGAAGGAAAACACGCGGTCAGTGCCTAGCACGGCTTAGCACGGGAAACATACAACTTGTTGACAGGCGGAGGAAGACTCGTAACTAATAAAAAGCGCGGGAAAACGGGTGAAGAAATTCCATCTTTTGACTCATAATCACTGACAAGCGTTGAATAACGTGCAGCCAGTGAAGAGCACAGAAGACTAGTGAACGATAAAAGCGCTGGAAAACTATTAACTAGATACAAACACAACACGTTACCAGCTCTAAGCGCGAGAAACTCTTGGCCATTACTAGTGTCTAGAGAGTTAAAAAACGCAATCATACGCGGACTGATTCCTCCATGCGGGATGTTTCCTCGAAACGAAATATCCCTCTTGTATCAGTCCACAGGAAATATTCGGTTAATTTTTAGCGGCTTTGCTACTGATGATAGGGCGCTTATGCATATACTTTTTTTGATACACGTGTGGAGGCAGCAAGTCAATTGAAGAAATGTAAATAATAAGCTCGATAAGCTGGAAACCACTCCGCTTCGCGTCGTGGTTTCCTACGCTTATCTCGTGTTCTCCCAACCTCCCGCGTGTTTACATCAGGCTATGTAAACACGGAAACCATTTTACATTTCTTTTATAAAATAACTAATGAATGAGGAACGAAAACTGTGTCTACGCACGCTCATGTAAAATGGTTTTATGGCCAATCAGAGCGCGCGTACTATTTGAATTATTTTATAAAGTTCTTTTGCGCATACTACAAATTTTCTGAATGAAGCGTTTAGTTTAAAACGCGAAAATCAAGGGCTTTCAAAACATGGCAGACGAACTGCATTGTCAGTATACAGTGTATATACATTGTACTTAAGTATAAAAAAAGTGCACGCTGTTCTGAGTGATGCCAACTAAATACCTTCATTGCTTCACACTTGGTTTTAAAATTTTCTTCCAAGTCTTTGATGTACTGTTCGTGTTTTAGGACTTCCTTCTTCCATTCCTCTGTAGCAATAGCATCTAGGTTTGACAAAGGAACGTGGGGAGGTAAGGAAAACGTATGGCTAATACAGTGATACAATCTACAAAACCATAGCTTCCATTAGCCGTGGATGCACACGCGCGCTGTATGTCAATAAGGCACATGTGGATCTTTAAAATTTAACTCTGATTTTTCGCATTGAGTAAGGCATACTTAGAAAAACCCTTTTAAGGAAGATAGCAAAAGTATTTGAAGTGAAAGTTTTTAAATAAATGCAACTTGACATGTGGTTCTCATCATGATGAATGCGCACAAAAAATTACTTAAATAGTAATAATAATAATAATAATAATAATAATATAATAATGATAATAATCATAAAAATTACAATTTCCTCCATTGCACTTGGTTTAAAAAATCCTATTTTCCACCAATTTGCTTATCAAGTTGTTATTGAACAGTTCAATAAGCCAATCACATTCAAAGTTGTAGCTTAACTCAACAAAAAATGGTAAGATTTAAAAAATTTGTTGTAAATTTTTTGAAAATATTTGGAAAATTTTGAGCACAATTTTTGGAAATTTTTCGAAAATTGTAATTTTAAAGATTTTTTGGTAATAAGACTTTGTGGAGTCCAATACTGTCTGTAATCATACTCATGATAAACAAATCAGACTCCTGTGTGTGCTGTCATCCAATTTTGTTATTACTCATATGATTACAGACTAAACTGGACTTCACTCAGTCCTAATACCATTACCACTACTACTACTACTTCTACTTCTACTACTACTACTACTACTACTACTACTGCTACTGCTACTGCTACTGCTACTGCTGCTGCTGCTGCTGCTGCTGCTGCTGCTGCTGCTGCTGCTGCTACTGCTACTGTTACTGCTACTACTACTACTAATAATAATTATAATAACAATAAAGATAAATATGGTAACTATAACAATAATAAAGCCTTCAATGGATGGCTGGAGGGACAGTTGAGATAGAAAATGAGGAATAAATCAATAACAGAAATGAAAATACCCAAAAAATATGTCTTAACAACAGTAATACCTAACAGCTATGTGGATAGGATTTGCTCTGTTTAACTGTGAAGGCCTCGATCATTGTTTAAAATCTTGGTATATTTTTAGCCATATGTACAGTGGTTTATAGAGAATATGATTGGAAGATGACCTCAGATATTTGAAAGATCTACTTACGAGGCAAGGCAGGTGGGTGTAGTTCATGAGAGTGGACCACAACCAAGCGATCTCCATTGCGGTATATTTGATCTTTATACCCTGCAAACAGAAAACATAATGGAAAATAAAGAGAAAAAAAAATGCTACACATGACTTTGTCTTCAAAGTGCTAAATAATTCTGTTTCAAAGTTTGGGTCATCAATAATGGTTGTGTAAAAATATACAGCTCAGTAAATCAAAGATACTGGTACCCATTAGATGAAGGAAGAAGAGGATATCTCAATTAAAAGAGAACTTGGAAAAACTAAATTTGTTGGTTTTAATACTCCCACAATTATCATGACCACTTTCAAATTTCCAAAAGTAAGATTTCTAATGAAGAAAGCAGGGTGTATTAATTTTGTCTATTAAGGACACCAACCAAATTCCCTGACTCCCACTTATCTATAGATACATCATCTCTACAGAGACAATTTTGAGGAGGATTTAAAAATATTTTTTCATCGACGTATACTAATTGGATTTCATATGATTGCCTCTAATGTATAATTATTAGATACAAAAAAAATCCCACCAATTCTTAAAAAGATATACCTGCTCCAAAACTAATCTTAACTCTCTGTCCATTGTCAAATAAAACCCTTCCCCAACCCTGTGCCTTAAGCAGTGAACCACACTTCACTAACAAAGACAAAGCCCATTAGCTGAGTTGTGGCATAGCTGGCTTCCAACCATGGAATTTAGCCTAAAAACATGCATGATGTCTGCCAAGAAAGATCCTTAGGAGAAAGGTGACAAAAGTGACCAAAACCATCCTCCCCACCTCAAAGCTTTGCACACACAGCTGCCATCGAACCATTAGTAATGGCAAGTCTCTGCTAGGGTGGGTCTGTCAATGTTCAGGTCTTGATGTTTAGCCCCTGATTTGTAAGCTTCTAATGTTTTTAAAATTTCCAAGAATGAGCATCAATTCCTTCCTCCATAGCACTCGTCAGACAGAATTTAACCCTTTAACTCACATGAGTGACCAGGACAGAATTTCTCCTTACAATATCAATACAATATCAACCAGATAAATGATTAGAATAAAGAAAAATATCAATTTTGGGATAATTAGTTGATCCCATACTAAATTCTCTGAACTAACATTATAAGAATTGTATGGTTGACAGTGAGGGGAATTACAAATTTGATCTGGGAGGTTTATGAGATTGTCAAGGGTGGGGTATTTTTGTCACGTTGCACTACATGTAATGTGGACATCATTTTATAACAACCTCTTCGGGCGATTACAAGCCGTAAATATGCTGCTAAAATCGTTAAGAGACAGAAATGACAGGCAAAATGATTCTCCATAAATACACTGACGAATACCAGTTTTGATTCAAGCGTGACTGTTTTCCGTAATAATCTAGGCTGGAGCGACGCGTGATAAGGGACACGCAAATTAACTGGACTTGCTAGATGACAATTTTTTTCCATAATTCTAGATCATCTTAATTTACCTTAAGAGCTGTTGATTTTTCGAGCTCGTTTTATGTGGTCTAGTCAAAATATAGCGTTAACAGCTGTTTTTAAACAGTATTGATCACACGCGTCCAAGGTTATGGAATAAACTGACGTTCGCTTACCAATACAGATGATACAATAGAGAATCTTTCGATCGAAACAGTAATTTTTTACCGTCCTATTTGCGCTATTCGAAAATAATAAGTCCAAAGAGGCGTTACCAATAAAAATCCTTTGAAAGCGAACCACCTCTAAGATCTCCCGATATTTCGGGTGACTACGATATCATTATTCAGTGTACCTGAGCAACTGTATCTAATCAATTTAGTTAGGGAACTTACAGTTAAACGCTTTCTCGCTATGCTCGCTTCCATCTACTGCTATACACACAACTCTTGCTTCAGAACTCGCCATGTTGTTACCGTTGATAGTTGAACGACGAATGATATTCACTGAAATCAGGTGTATTTACTCTTTACGACTTACCAGCCAATGTGTTCACTCAAATGCATGACGCGTGACAGCGCGCGTGAGAACTTGCATGTCTTGGACGGGCATTTTATTTCAGGGAGAGGAGGGTTAGAGAATTGCTGTGTTCTAAATTTTTTACCCCTTCGGATTTCTTAGATTGACTGTCTGCTATTTACTGTTTCGCTGACTGGAAATGCCTTGATTGGAATTATTGTGTACAAAACCCGAAGTCTGAGAAATCCCGTCAACTATTTTATTGCAAACATGGCCATATCTGATCTGCTGTTTCCTATTTTCCTGATTCCTCAGGTTTTAGTTCAGTTTAATACCAACACCATTTGATTTTAACTCAATTTTCACAGATTAATAGAGGATGTATCTTTAATTGAAACCGCGGTGCAGACGAAAGCAAAACAATAGAGCCAATTTTATTTTGAAGAACGCGTTTTAATTTACAGTACAAATCTTTTACTGAACCACACATATTCTACTGAATATCTGATAAAAGTATACACATTTTAATCACAGTTCCTTGACCAACACTTCTTGATATATATGTTAAGACCTCTTGTACGACAAAGGACTCGTTTAAAATTGTTAGCTGGGATCATAATTGAATAGTATGTTTTCATTCTGTTTGGAGAATTCAGTCAGGCCTTAAATGACCAAACTAATTCAATACCAAACACTGTTGTTCTCGCACGATCGGTATACTTATTTACAAAAGTCAAAGAGTAAAATGAAATGGGCTGAGAACCTCCTCTATCTTTAAAATGCATCTGGAACTCACTCTAGGGGGGTACTGCGAGTCGCCTGTTCGCCCTATTCCTTTGGTACCACTATCACTGGTACGTGGGCATGGTGAACGACATAATCACTCACACTTCCTAATATGGTGCGGCGAACTGTTCCCACACCACGGCAGCCAATCACGATAAAAGTTGCCCCCTCCTTCTTGACAACCTTACAGATATTCTCTCCAGGAGAGCCAGCTTCTACAACAATCTTTGCTGACAACTAAAAACAGAGGAATGATTACAGTGGGGACTCATTGGAGAGAGGAGAACATTTGTGAGAGAGGGAGTTTATCGGAGAGGGAGCTTATCAGATAGGGGGTTTTATTGGAGAGTAGGGGAATTTTCGGAGAGGGGGGAGGGCTTATTGTCAAAAAGGTGGACTTATGAGAAAAAGAGAGAGATTTTCAGCAAGGGGAGTTTATTTGGGAGAGAATTTGTCAGAGAGGCCTGGGACTTATTGGAGAGAGGAGGGTTGTCAGACAAGGGAGCTTATTGGAGAAAGAGAGGGGGGAGTTTGTTGGAGAGGGGTGGCATTTTTAGAGAGAGAGAGAGAGAGGAGATTGTCGGAGAAGGAACCTTATTATTAAAGAATATTATTAAAGGGGGGATTGTCAGAGAGCGGGGCTTATTTGAAAATTTACTGTACTCTCAGTTGCAAATTGAGATTTATCTCTTTATGATCAGAAACAGAAGTATTAAAAGGATTTTTACATTTCTGATTTTATTTTTTTCTGAATAACACCAGTAGATAAAGTACCTTCAAGTCTTTGCATTTCTTCTCGTATTTCTTCTCCAGTTCTTTTATAATATTTTCGTGTTTCACAACTTCACGGCGCCATTCGTCCGTGGCCATCATATCTTCAAAGAAAACAATTAAACACGTTTATTTTTTCATATGAATCCATCAGAGGGCGTACACAGCCTCCCTTGACCTTTTCTGGCCCAATCTTGACCCTGATCAGAAATCTGTACAAGCTTTATGTCTTAGCGAAACAAAAATTGCGCCCAAAAATCGAAGGATTACCCCAAATTTCTGCAAAGTAGCCTGCCAAGTACATAAATTTCAAATTTTATATGGAGGGATTACAATTTGGTCTTCAAACACTTCTCCTTCGACGCCTCCACCTGACGTATTTCACTCTAGGTTCAAAAATATTACTTACGAGGCAAAGCCGGGGGCTGCAGTTCATGCGAGTGTACCACAAGCAGTCGATCGCCATCATGATAAACATTTGTCATAAACCCTGTTCAGAATAAACAAAGACGTACAAAAAAGAAACTAAACAAACATCTAAGCTTTGCTAAAACAGAGGGATCTTGAGGGATAGGAAACAACAATAATACCATCTCGTTGACATAAGTACTCAGCGCAAAATGCTTAACGACTGAGAATTCAGACCACAAAGTTTGGTTAATTAACACAACGTCTAAGCAAGATGCGTGATGAAAACATGTCGTGTGTCGATATAAATGCGGGTAAACAGATGCGATAGCAAGTCTTTCTTTCTTCTCCTCTCAGCTCGTTTTGGCCTCGGAGCTCTCTCCTTCTCCTCCCCCCTCCCACTCAGTATGACTTCTCACTTCTCCCTGGGTATTATAATATATAAGAAAATTGTTGTATCGAATCAAGTCAATTGGCACGTTTCTTCCGATGTCACAAAATCTACAAGCAAGCTAATGTATTCATGTTCGTGCAGATTCTCACGCAAATGTGTCATTATCGCTCTTCTGGTAAAAACCGTGAGTTAAATTTCAAAAGATTCTCTTCAGACAAGGTATTCATAAGGTAAACATTGACTGCACTATTTTGGCCGTAACAAGTGCGCATCCTTTGACTTGAAAACAATTCAACTTATCGTAAACACGGCAAGCTACCACTCGACCTAAATATTTACAAACGCATTTTGAGCTCGTGGAACGTATTCAGTAACGATTTCATGTAGAACATAGACTTAAACGTGTTTTTTAATACTCACAGTCAAATGCCTTTTCGCTGTATTCGCTCGCATCCACAGCAATTGCCACAAGTCTTCCAGACATAATAAGCGGGAGCGCAGCAGTCTCGAAGGTGTCAGGGAAATACGTCACGTCTAAGTTGTTTTGTTCAATTTATATCTTGACCTATTGTATAAAATTAAATTAAGTCACGCGATGTCCTGTGAATGATAATAATATCCTCCAATAGACGATGGCTATGATTTCACCTTCAACTTATTTCCCAAAAGGCTCTAAGCAAAAAATCGATCGGTCAACGGTGAAACAACAGCGCGTCAGAAGGGAAAAACATGTGATGGAAATGTTTATTTCTATCAGGCAGTTCATGTTAATTATGTACCGGATGCCTTTTGCCTTTCACCCTCGCCTATTCAAGTTCGGTTTGGATCAGCCGTGGACTACAAAAGTATCCTATCTTGGGGCCTTCGTAGATAACTCTCTCGATTAAATTTCGTTCCATACCCTTGTATTTACTCTACACTTAGTGGGAAGTTTTTTTTTCCAATAAGGAAAGGGTTCTTATTTGCTACCACTCGGTTTTATGCAATACTTGGTAATAGCTCTTGGCAATGCTGACAAACAATGACACTTTGTACACTCTGCATATGTAAGACTGTCAAAACAAAGGAATCGTACTAAACGAATTTTGTGGGTTTATTTTGCAACAAAGACAGTTAGCTTTCTTTCCCGGCACTCAGAATAAACAAGTCATTCTTGATTATTGATTCTTATTAAAGCGAAATCTTTTTGTTTTATAATACATTCGTTATTGACCATGCTTGTTCGGTCAAGATGGCTGCATGGATAATAGCTTCGTCCTGTTTTCGTCTTTGTGGACCTCGACTTCGTCTCGGCCCACGAAAACGCGAACAAAGCTCTTGGCCACTATCTAGCCATCTTGATCGCACGAGTGGTTAATAACATTCATCAAGAAACTATTCCACTACTACGCCATTATACCATATTAGGGCAACAGAACGCCGTCTGTAGAACAAGGGAATAATGCGGAAGGAAAGCGGAGCAACAAAATGGGTGCGCCGAGCGTTCTAGACTTTGATTTTTTTTAATTCACACTTTGGGCTTGACTTTTTAAAAAACTTTCAAGTAAATCCGATTTTGTTGTATGTTCCAAAGAATACTTCTGTCAATTAATTGTTTCGCTTGTGTTGTTTCTTTCACGCACGCCTTTGGCAATCGACATGTTATTCATTGAAGGTCGTAGAACTACATAGGAAGTATTGCGCAAACTGAAAATTAAAATTTATTTTACTAGAAAATGAAATGATAGTGAAATAATAACTTCCTTATCACCACTTGGATCATTGCTACGGTTATCTGGTGCCCAGACCTGTTCGCCTGGAAATCTGTCAAGTTTCCAGAGGAGCTGGCGTGTGTGATTGGAATGACGCATTCGGAGAGTACCCGTCCTTCAAAAACTACTCTTTAACGATGCACGCTGCCATCATTTTTGTCCCTGTGGTTTTCATAGCTATACGTTTATTGCTTTAAAAATCAAATCCCAGAGGATTCCAGGAGGGCAATCAACTAACACAAGAGAAAAATGCTTGAAAAGAGAGCGAAATGTTCTTAAACTGTCCGTTACCATCGTGTTGGGGTTTGCATTGTGTTGGCTGCCCCTAAGTATTGTGTGGTTCATGATGAATTTCAACTCAGACCGAACAATAACATCATCTTGAGGCTTCTATTACTTCTGGTCTGTTACCTTATTTCTAGCTATGTCGAACTGCGCGATCAACCCTTGGATCTGTGTATGTTTTGGTGGAAATTATCGTCAGGGTCTCAAGAATCTCCTTTGTCAGTTGCTCTTCTTTTGGTCCTGACGTTGATCAAGATGCACCGTAGTGTGACACCCGAGGCTCTAAGACGCTATTTCACTAAAGGATTAATTTCTTAATTAGTATTTTCATTTCAGACTACGATCAAGTCAACAGGGTAATTAGAGAGCCTAAAGTGAAACATCTTATTGAAAAAACCATAATGAATTCTTTGATCTAGTGATTCATGATTAAAAGGAATGGTGTGAATTGTCCGCTTGAAGTCTTTTTAAGACATGATAGATCAAAATAAGGACTAGTTCTGGTTAAAAACTGATTGTTTTATTGCTGAAAGTGGCATTTAGAAATTATCAGAAAGACGTTATACTGAACTCCCTCTATACAATACTGAAATTTGCACACAAATTGTAAGCATTCTTATCTTCCTTTGTCAGCTCACTTAATACAAAAATATACATAGATAAACTTATCGCTAGAGATGCTTTGATCAACGGTCAAACCGTTCTTTGAACTTTTGCGCAACGACTGTTTTTGTGAGCTGTATTAATCTGATCACATAATTTAATGACTTTATTCAAACGTACCACATTGAAGACAAGTATGATGTAATTTACTGGACAAAAAGAGATGAAATAAAATGTTTATCAATGGCTGAGTCGAGTTTGTACATTACCATAATCGTCCTAATCATTGTTTGAAGTAGTATTCCCTTTCAAGATGACGATGCAGAATGGAAACACGATGGTAAATAATATAAAGACAGAAAAAAAAGCATCAATTTTCTTCTCGTCTATGGAACAGGAAATCTATTAAAAGCTTACTTGCAATTTTTTGATTCAATATTAACTGCCTCAAAGCCGTCGAGAACTCCAGTTGCCTTAAACTTTCTTTTCATTTCAGAAAGTCGGTTATCCGGTGAATATCAAGGTAAACAAACTTTTCAAAATCGGATTTGCTCTCTTAACTTAATTTGCAAAGTAATAGGATATATGATCCCTTCGATGGCAGTTAATGAGTTAATGTTCCCTAGTAAAAGGCTCAAACAAACAGAAATAATTTTGAGAGGAAAAGTGGCCGCTCCGTGTGTACGGTGACATAACAAGGGGTACAAGTCCCAGCGACAATTCGCGTCGTGTGACACGGTGAGATTTTGTGAAAATCTTTCCTCCTGTGCCAGAGTTTTTTCCAAGTGATAATTTAACTCAGACTGGGTTTGTAAATGGACGCAAAATCTTTGAACTACAACCAGTGTGTGACATTGGTGATCTTTGTCACTTGTGCAAAGTTCTGTTTTGTGATTGGTTACTTGCCACAATAGCCATCACTAAAAAACAAAAACGGGTTTAATTCACATTGTATACGTAGACCGTCATCAAAACAGCAGGTGCAGGCTGTGAACCAGACAGAGAGTCAGCGAGTGAGAGAGTCGTGTTAATATACCAACAAAACGTTCACTTTGGCAATGAAACTTGAAAATTAACAACTACAGCTAAAGAGCTAAATTTGAATGACAGAGAAAAAGTCTCTCAATTCTCTGGATGTAAAGTAATATAAACTCAAATGCTTCTTAACCAAAAAGCTTTCTCACCGCTTACAAATGTTACTTTTAGCTCTGCAGTTAGAGGCCACGATCGTCTTCAGTAGATTTGCTCGATCTTAGTCGGGGTGGTGGCGAGTATAGATTGGTGAAGGCAAGATCAATCTACACCTTGAACGTAATTAAGTGGTTCCTTTCGGTCAGCCAGCTGATTTCTCACATCAGAGGAAAAAAGTGAGCTTATTTTTTTACTCTGGTCACATCGTGGGCGGCTAAGTTTGGGTTTGAACATTAGACTCAATAGCAAATAAATATTGTATTATTGTATTGTATTGTATTGTATTGTATTTTTTCACTCTGGTCACATCGTGGGCAGCTAAGTTTGGGTTTGAACATTAGACTCAATAGCATATTTTCCCGTTACAGATCAGGATCCGTTTGACTAGTTTGCATTTGGTAGAGATAGCAGCCCCTTAATCCGAAGGTAAATCGGACAGAAGTTAAATGCATTTGTTTTCACCTAAAAGTCATCATGGTTACTGTTACAAGCGTCGAGAGACAATAATTCACGTATTTCCTAAACCTACGAAGACGTATTTCTCAAAACTGTTTTATCACTGATATCGAGAATATTGGTTTTTTCTTATTATTTTTATAATTTGAGATTATAATACCAGTTATAGAATGTTCTTAACCATACCATTCCGGGTAAATATCGATATGAATGATAACGCAGTTTTTTAATCTCGGGAAGTTTTGGATACAGAGTGGGAATTAAGAGTAAAATTAATTAAGGTCTGGAGGTGCTTCATAAAGTTGATTACCATGTAGATAACCAGGTCCGGATATGCAATGTTATTATATATGTAAATAATCAGCTGTGCGTGTGTTTTATGTCAATAGAGCGTAGGTAGTTAATCTTCAGAGTCACAGAATTGCTGGCTGAAGAAGAAACTTATCTCTTTGTTTTGAGAATGTCGGCAAACGTGGCGGTAATGACGACTGAAACACAGTCTATGTCGAGCTGCTTCAACCTCTCAGTAGAAAGAATTGGTTACACTTTTGCTTACTGTCTGCTATTTGCTGTTTCGCTGACTGGAAACGCCTTGATTGGAGTTATTGTGTACAAAACCCGAAGTCTGAGAAATCCTGTCAACTACTTTATTGCAAACATGGCCATATCTGATCTGCTGTTTCCTATTTTCCTGATTCCTCAGGTTTTAGTTCAGTTGAATACCAACACCTGGCTGATCGATGGTCCTCTTGGCCAAGCATTGTGTAAGCTATCTGGTTATTTAGTTGATGTGTCAAGTGCTGTGTCCATTCAGAGTCTCGTTATAATAGCAGTAGATCGATTTAGAGCTGTGGTATTTCCCCTTCGTTCCCCACTGATTAGTTCAAAGCGCTGTCGGTTCTTCATTCTCGCCACTTGGATCATTGCTATGGTTGTCTTCTGCCCATCCCTGTTTACTTGGAAAGTTGTGGAGCAGCCAGAGGGGTTGGCGTGCGTGAGACGGTGGAAAGCGGCAGTTGAAGAGTCTTCGCTCAAAGAAACCTTTCCTGTCGCGATGACTATTTTATATCTGTATTTTCCTTTGGTTTTTATTAGCATTTTGTACCTTATAATTGCTTTCAAAATGAAAGCCAATAAGATTATAGGTTTGCAATCGGTAAACGTTAGAGAACAACGTTTAAAGAGAGAAAGAAATGTTCTTAAGATGTGCATTGCAATTGTGTTGGTGTTCGCAGTATGTTGGGTGCCATTCAGCATCTGGTGGCTGTTGTTCCTCTATTCTTCAGACAGAACAATATCATCGTGTGGCTTTCAATTCTTTGGGGTCATAGCCGTATTTCTGAGGCGATCAAACTGTGCTGTCAATCCTTACATTTGTTTCATTTTCAGTGGAAACTATCGTCAAGGACTCAAATATCTTTTCAGTTGCTTCTCTGTTAGTCAAGCGCTTAATCAAATTGCACCTTTGTTTGATTCCCAAGCTATTACCTTAAATTATTCACGCCCACAAAGGGATTAAGTTCTAGATAACCTCCATCAAAAATCTGTTTCATTTGCTAATGATTGTAAGGTAAATATTATCATCTGCTTTTATTTATAAAACATTTGACCGGGCCGTTTGCATGGCATGTAACAAAGTCCAGAGATTGGTTTCGTTACTCGCTATGTTATCAGTCTACATAAAAAAGAAATAAAAACAAGATTTTTAACATGATCATGACGTATTCTGATTTGTGACACATGAGTGGTCACAAAGTGCTTTTTATTTGTGACCAATCATGTATTAGAAATTATACAGGGAGGTGGCAAGTCGAGTCAGGGTAAGAGTATGTAGTGCCTCAAAAATATTTAATCGGTTCCTCACAGTTAGCAAGTTGTTGACTCACAGCACAAAGGTTTCATGGCTGGCACCTGAGCTTGAGGTCTCTTTCAGTTTTTCCATTGGAGTTGAAAGAAGTTGACAGAAGACTTTACTATTTGAAATAAATTTTAACCTTTACAAATTGGATTCCTATCTGATTCCAAATCCGATGGCTAAGTTCCAATGCTCGATGCCTCTTCACTTTTCCAGTATTTGGTGAACCGAATAATAAAAACGAAAGGAAGACAGCCCATTTTGTCTGTGTACATTCTAATTATTATTACACTTTTTGAGCCCAAGAGAGGACACACACAGCTTTCCATAATGCGACTTTTAGCTTTTCCCTACACCGAAAGGCCGGAACATGTCATTAAAAAAACTGTCATTTATATTGTGGTTATTCATGAATACATCAAGAATTTTGTGTAATTTTAAGTATCAGAAAGGCCACAAAATGTACACAGCCTCTAATTGACGTACAAGACACACTGACCGTCAAACAGATTCACTAGCACTAATGGCTTTCTGCCAAAACCAGTCTTGCAAGTAGAGAAAAAAATACTGTCGGGACAGAAAATTTTACACTAGCGGCGGATGGAAAATAAAGGTCCAGAAATCAGCAATTTTAGCAATACAATACCGAACTATTACCGTCACTTTGTTCAGATTATCGCGAGGAAATCGATGACAGGAAGAGGTGCGAGACTGCTTTAGTGTTTGTTTCTACGATATATCGAATTATCTTTGATACAATTTCCAGCGAAAGCAGTATTAAATATATAGATTTTTGTGGCTCACAACTCTAAGCTCCTCTGTTTACCTTTTTACAGAGATCTCCGACTATTACAAGGCTCCGGTATCGAAAGAAAAAGCAGAGAGAACGTGACTTTGAAAGTCATCACAAATGTTAACGGGATTAAGTTCCAGATCGGATAAAAGGTTTCGAGACCTGCTTTTTTTGCAAAAGATAAATAAAAAAAACTCGCACCTTCTTCACTGTGAGACTTGTGAGAGAAAAAATATCACACCCTCATCTTGCCACGCGTTTGATTGAAAACGAAAATAACTCAAATACATGCTCTCGCAAAAACTAGAAATCATTCCTTTGATCATTATATCTTGTATCATCAACATGGTTACACGAATTCGGCGCTTTTGCAAAGAAGGATCCTCGTGTTAGGTAAACATGCTGGTTCTAAAAATGATGAGCGCCTCGTTTGAAAACAGTTGTGCGCCAGAAACAAGGTCTTTAATCGCCTAATTTGCGAACCTTTGGCTCGATGCGCTAAACGAGGGTCAAGTCTACCCCTGGGTACACCGATGGAGATTGATTTTACTGGTGCATATTTACACTACCCACTCCCCCAGTGCAGCAAAATTGTCACTCCGATAATTTTCTCGATCTGTTACGAGCTTTTCCGCCTCCCTTCAGCCAAAGTCCCTCAGGACTACCAATTACTCAGGACGTTTGTTTGGAAAGTTGACCCGGAACAATGGGCCATTTCTTGATACGATGGACACAAAGATTCATTCCGTTTCTTTTGTATGTCAATATATAATTCTCTAAAACTGATTTCACCACTGAGCGTCTTACTACCAAGTATTTTTATGCAGGTGGTAATAATAACTCTCACGTTTATGGAGTACATCTTTTACAATAGATTGTGAATATGTATTTAGAGAGTTGTAGAGAGGCTACATGCGACAATAATTATGTACACAGTCTTTATTTGGTGCTCTAGGCATGGTGGGATTGTAACGCAAAAACTCAAATACAGTAAAGGCTTTAGACCAACACATTTTCAAAAGAAAAAGCATACAAAATAAAGGCAGGAAAAAAAAATTAATAAGTGAGTAAGGAAAAAGTGTTTTCGCTGTAAAAAATCTTTTGGATTCGTTCCTCATGGAAAACAATTCCAACTAAGTAAAATAAGTTTAGCTGCAGAAAGTACATCGAGTTATTTGTTAGTAATCAGCTTTGTTTTCTTTATTGAGAATATAGATAGCCTCCTGAAAACTGCTCTGAAGAAGAACTGGTATCTCAGTTCCAAGAATGTCGGTAAATGAGACTACAGTGGTAAATGGAACACAGACCGTGTCGTCCTGCTTCAATTACGAAGCACTAAAGATCGCTTACATTGCTGCATTTTTTCCAGTATTTCTAGTTTCATTGGTTGGAAATATCTTTATTGGAATAATTGTCTACAAGACGAAATCCCTGAAAAAGCCAGTCAACTATTTTATTGCAAACATGGCCATGTCAGATCTGGTGTATCCGATTTCCATGCTTCCTCGTGATGTAGCTTCACTATTCATTAGCGGCTCCTAGTTGGTCAGAGGTCCTCTCGGCCAAGCATTGCGTAAGCTAAGCTCCTTCTCAATAGAAGTCTCCACTCTTGTTTCATCTCAGAGTCTGGTTCTTATGGCAGTCAATCGATTTGGAGCCGTAGTTTTTTACCCTCAGTTCCCCACTGATCAGTTTAAACAAGTGCCGCTTCTTCATTCTCGCCACTTGGATCATTGCCATGGTTGTTAGGTGCCCGATTCTGTTCTTCTTTATGGCTTTGGAGTATGCAGACGGGCTGGAATGTACACCGCTATGGTCTCCCTACTTCAAACACTACACTGTGGCAATGATCGCTGTCGGTTTTTATGTCCCATTAGTTTTGATCACCATATTTTACCTTACCATCGCTTTAACAATCAAATCTCAGAAAACTGCGGGCGAACAATCAGTCAGCAGAAGAGGACAACGTTTAAAGAGAGAGAAAATCGTTCTAGAGATCTCCATTGCTATCGTGTCAGCGTTTACAATGGGCTGGCTGCCACTCAGTATCTGGTGGTTTGTGTACTTCTATTCATCAGATAAAACAGTGATATGGTCTTGTGGATTTCGATATTTCACGGAGATTGTCCGATTTTTGATGTACTCATACTGTGCTGTAAGCCCTTGCATCTGTTTTATATTCATTGGACATTACCGCCAGGGTCTTAAAAATCTCCTCAATTGCTTCTCTATGGCGCCCAGGGCTTATCAAGTTGCACCGCCGTAGCTTAAGCCCCGCACTATAAAATGCTATCCAGTCGCAAGTAAAGATAAATTTCGTACTGACCGTTTTAATCAGAAGTTAAGGAAAGTTAGCTTGGCAGCGAAAAAGTCTTTTTAGTAAAAGTTCTCAGTTGAATAACAAAGAAGAACTTTGTCAATTGTTAGCGTGATGTTTTTAAAAACTACGATGATAAAGACGTTCATTGGTCTCGCTAGAAACTGATCAATTATTTGCCTTCAGCTGCATGTCCAAAATCAGAGGAAGATAAGAAGTCAGGTAAAAGCTTAATTTTTTAAAACGGAAAAACTTGTTGAACTCAAGAAACTTTATGCAACGTTAAACCGTTGTTTAAACAGTTGTTTTATGTATTTATTCTGGGTACAAATATTAAAGACTATACTTCAAAATAAGAGTCTTTTGACTAAAATGTAATACACTGAGAATTAAAATGTGATGTAAAGGAAGGAAAAAAAAACGAAGTATTTTACAGTAACTTAGAGTTTTCGTTTTGTTACCACAGTTGTCTGAGCAGTGGGAAAATGAAATGTACATCCAGGTGATGTCTTAATGTCTACGGAGGAGAAGTTACTTCTCTTTGTATGGAGTTTGATTTTCACACACGCTTAACTTCTCTATTTTAGAACAACTAGCTTTCTCATACGTGATGATCCTGAGACAAGCTGTCAACTGTCATTCAATATCATTAAATTATTCTATTTCGGTACTCACCATTCTATCACGTGCTTTATTCATGTTTGCCTTTAGATTCAGATCACGCCTTGCGTTGAACTACCTTCCTTAGAAATGACTTGTTTATCCTTTTTTATATGTAAATACATTTCTCTAAAATTGTTGTTTTCACTTCTTGTCTTCCAATTCTGTCTGTCATCATACTCGTGATTAACAAATCAGACTTCCGCTTCGCTGTCGTTCGATTTAGTTAATCACTTCTATGATTACAGACCGAATTGAACTTCACTCGGTCCTTTACCATTACTAATCTGTTTCGCTTTCTATGGAAATTATCGTCAAGGCCTTAAGAATCTCTTTAGTTTATTTCTCTCTGATTGACCCAGATGCTTTTTTGTAGTTTGAGCCCCGAGCTCTTGCATGTTAGCTCACTTGCTTACGATGTTTCTGGTGCAGATACACAATATATCAGCCTTACTGCTGATATATAACATAAAAGGGCTAATTAATATGACTCTGAAGTGAAACTCCTCCTTTGAATAATCAGTTTGAGAAGAAGTGTAGAGGTCGGGCTAACTCAATCGACCCCTTTAAGAAAAAAGGATATCTTGTCTACTGGTACTGTGGCACTCGCTCATTCAAAATTACCGGCCAAGGAAGTTAAAATAAACCAAAATCTTCAAACTCCCCAGAAAAAAGTTCACCTCAGACCGCATGAATTCATGTCTATAGCCTGCATGGCAGCTCAAAGAATTTTTAAAGAAATTTGCATGACCGCTTAAACCATTATTTAGAATAATTATGGCTTATTTATCGTTTGATATATATAATTCTAGGTACATATTTTGTAAACATTTCTTTGTAGAGTGCTGTCGATAAATTTTTCTGAAGAGGTAAAAGGATCTGATAAAAATAAAATCGAATTGATCACATGTAGCCTCCAGTTAATAAAGACAAAACACATCACTCAACCACAACTCGTTCACGACCATTGCGCTCGCGAAAGCTTAACCCGACCGCGCCTTGTTATATATACCAAAAAACATATAATTGAAATCCTCTTTAGTACAATCAAAAGCAATTGAATATGTGTTTTGAATGAGTGTGCCTGAAATGGTTATTAAACGAAGGGATGAAAATATATTTAGAGCAATAGAAAGAATAATATCTGTTTATTATTTGGCATGAGAAATAAAAAGAGATATCAAAGAAGTACATGGGACATTAGGGTTTGACTGAATTAAGAAAAAAATTGATCGAGAACTGAAAGAAGTTTTGCGCTTTTTAAACTTCATCAATTCCTTCCTTAGCACTCATATCACCGGCCACAATTTGCCTTTACCTCCGGGACTGCATGACATTTGTCGCTCAGTAATAATAATATTTACAACTTGAATAACTGACCTCACCAAAGCACTTAAGGTAAGTGCCTTCATGCGGTCGTTTATAGCACCAAAAAAAAGGAAAATTAAATTTTGCAGTTTACTTAGGGTTTTTCTTAAAAGAATCCCTTGGTTACTCTATAATCCTTTAAAATATTGTGTACTACATCTTGGAACATTTTCCTTCACTTATTATAAGCCGTCAAACGTAATTCACTTATTATAAGCTGTCAAACGTAATTCAATAAATAAGTTAAACGCTATTTCAGTTTTTGCTTTCCAGTCATTTGCTAAACTTTAATCGGCTTTTTCATTCAGATCACGCCTCGCAGGGGAAGGAAGCAGCCAGCTTTCATTTTAACTTCCTTTTTCCCCGTTTTTCGTACCTCAATTACCATGCCTTTTTCGTGCACACAAAAAAGAAAAGATAAGCCAAACTTGACACGCATTTCTCGCTTTTTGTTAGCTGATCTTATTTTTCACGACTCGTTTTGGCTGGGAAACTGATATCCGTCAACCGTCTGTAAAATAAGAAAATAGTGAGCAAACAAGCGATCAAGAAACAACCACAGCAATTATCATCAAGTGACTGAAGCAGAGATCTATGACATGTATTGAAGGCATTTTAACTTCCTTTTTCCCCGTTTTTCGTACCTCAATTACCAGGCCGTTTTCGTGCACAAAAGAAAAAAGATACGCATAACTTGACAAATTCCTCGCCTTTTATTAGCTGATATTAGCGTTTCACGACTTATCCTGGATGGGAAACTGACATCCGTCAATCGTCTCTTACGCAAATAGTAAGCAAACAAGCGGTCAAGAAATAACCACAACAATTATCATCAAGTGACTGAAGCAGAAAATAATCTCTTGGTTTCTGTATAATCCTTTAGAATACTGTGTGCTACATCTTGGAACATTTTCCTTTACTTATTCTAAGCCGCATGGAGCCATCTGTCAAACGTAATTCCATAAATAACGCTATTTCAGTTTTTGCTTTCCAGTCATTTGCTAAACTTTAATCGGCTTTTAATTCAGACACGCCTGGCAGGGGAAGGAAGCAGCCAGCTTTCATTTTAACTTCCTTTTTCCCCGTTTTCCGTCCCTCAATTACAAGGCCATTTTCGTGCACAAAAAAGAAAAGATACGCATAACTTGACACATATTCCTTGCTTTTTTAGCTGACATTAGTTTTTCACGACTCATTCTGGCTTGGAAACTGACATCCGTCAATCGTCTCTTACGCAAATAGTAAGCAAACAAGCGGTCAAGAAATAACCACAACAATTATCATCAAGTGACTGAAGCAGAGATCCATGACATGTATTGAAAGCGTTTTACATACACGTCAAGATGCGGAAACAGAAGATAATGGAACTTTCTACAACTGTTCCTGAGGCTAATGATATTTCTATTTGAAGTGCAATTATCCAAATGAGATCTTTCCCAACTATTTAATCTCAAATAACTGTAATTGCAGATACTTTTGCTAATCAAAATGAAGGTTCATCGTACATCTGTCGATATTCTTGAATTTCTGGAGAAGCTAACGTATGCAATTTAGAACAATAATAATATCTATGCAGATCATCACTGCCGTTCACTAAAAAAAAGATAGCGTTCAGAGCTGTTGGCTGAATGTCGGCAAATGTGACCGCAACGATGAATGGAACACAGGTACCGAGCTGCTTAAATCCAGTTACTGAGGGAAAGAGAATCGGATTCAACGTTGCTTACAGCTTTTATAAAATAAAATAAAAAATACAAAATAAAGACAGGAAAAAAGTTAATAAGCGAGGATGGAAAGGAGTATTTACGATTTGAATGTGTTCCTCATGGAAAACTAGATTCAACTCAGTAAAAGAAGTTTGGCTAAAGAAAGTCAATGAAAGTCATTTGTTATTTATCAGCTTTGTTTTGTTTATTGAGAAATGCTCAGAACCAAAGATTGGTTAAAGAAAGGGAAATCATCGTTTGCTTAAAACAAATTCAGAGATACAGTTCATCGAAACCGATATTTATTCTTTTTCACTCTTTCGTCTTTTTGTTCTTCTTTGATAGTCATGTCAGCTGCACTTTGGTTTTACCGCAGGGACTGAAATTTGTCCCTCGGCGATGTCTACATTTTGAATAAGTGACCTCGCCGAAGCACAGAAGGTTAATGAGTGTATGCGGTCGTTTAAAGCAACGGAGATATTATATTTCCTGTAATCCTCCAAAATATCTTTAGTGAAATTAAAAAAGAATACTGATCTGTTTCAGATTTTATGTGAATTTTTTTCGTTTCAAAGAGCAAAAGCGGGAAACAGACAGGAAAACGTTGCATAGTCGCCTTTTGCAATAATATTTTTCCCGTTCACGTCGTGCTTAACTCCTCTATTTTAGAACAACTTCTTTTCTCATACGTGATGATTCTGAGACAAGCTGTCAACTGTCATTCAACATCAATAAATTATTCTATTTCGGTACTCGCCATTTTATCATGTGCTTTATTCATGTCTGCCTTTAGATTTACGTCACGCCTTTGGTTGAACTACCTTTCTTAGTAATGACTTGTTTTTCCTCTTTTATATGTAAATACATTTCTCTAAAAAATTGTTGTTTTCACCATTTACCAATCATACCAAAAGGTTAGAAAGAATTATAGAATTTTCCTGGGTATGTTCATTAATTAAACATGTGAAAGTTTGATCTATATAAGATGGATAGGTTGTGTTTTCATCCAGTAGAGTTTAAGTACCCACCGCAGGGCTGTTGGCTGAAGAAAAACCTGATCTCTCGGTATCAAAAAATGTCTGCAAACGTGACAGCAATGACGAATGGAACACAGTCCATGTCGAGCTGCTTCAACCCCACAGCGAGAAGAATTGGTGAAACCTTCGCCTACTGTCTGCTATTTGTTGTGTCGCTGGCTGCGAATTCCTTTATTGG